AATAGAAGTATTTTAATGTATGTGTTGCTTCATAAGTTGTAGATAAATATAGGTATTAGGCACATTTTGGTGTATGGTAATTGGTAATAGTCTCTACGACCTTCATGGGCCAAAATACAAAAATTCGAGTGACCGCGAAATCCTAGAAAAGGGTGTGGCCAAAAACGCCATGAAGTTCAAATGTTTTAAGCATCATCTAGAGAAGTGATAACCGTCGAGAAATCGCTTTTAACACGAAAAGTTAACGAATTTCCCTTTCGTCTAGGACATTTGTATCATTCTAATCTAGATATTATCGGGGAACTCATTTTCTGAGCACATTGGCCTAAAACAGATAGTTGCAACGTGTTTCTCGAGTCCTAAAACCCCTAGTTTGATATATAGCATGACAAATTCGAAACAGTGTTTAATGTGCAGGTTTAGAGTCACTTATGACACCTGAGTTCACTTTTCACTAGTCACTGTATCTTGCAACAGTTGTGTTATATTTCACGCCCATGTCTCCAGGTATTCAGTAAGCAATGTATAACTTTAATAAACTTTAATGCACGAAAAACAGTGTCGACCTTTTATTTATTTTATTCTCCATTATTTAGTTCTCGAGAGAAGCCATCGACTTGGGTGTTACCTCAAATGTCAGATTATTTGTTAAAAAGGCGTGTTGAGGGTTCTCAATAGCCAAACATTCTAGTTTTTGACTTGTTAACTAAAAAAGCTGAGTAGCTCCAGCGGGAATAGTAATATAGTAATATTACTATGTTTACAGTATGTACTGAAGGGGTGTCCTAGGAAGTTTCTTGAACTCTTAACAGGTACCCCTCCTCATTTAACCCTCAATCAAGTTTTCTTTCATTCGGCTGAGTCGACCGAGGAGATCGCATAGATCCAATGGATCCTTAGCTACTCCCTAGACTAGACGACTAGGAAAGCTACTTAGAAAAGTTTAACATAGTAAGCTGCTAAGATTACAAAGTAGTTGTTACCTTGGCAACAGTAGTAGTTACCGTGGTAACTAAGCTGCTAAGATCTGTATTTCTTGTTGTTATCGACACGCTCGGTGAAATTGTTCGGTATTTCCCATGCTTTTAACGGTAGTTAAGTGACCTGTGACTTTAACGTTTTCGCGATATCTAATTAATCTACCATCTGTGAGCATAATATATTCATTTCACGCCAGTCCTTGAGTCATATCACAGATGAATGTTTTTAACTTTAATTAAATGTTATCGGTATTTTCTTTGAAAACAAAATGATTTTTAGGCAGGTCAATATGATCGCTTTAACTTTTTTAAATAGAGAAAACTCTGGTAAAATTAAAGCTCTTTACACATTCAACACAGTAAATTTTCCTGTCAATCTCCACTTTTATTAAATGATCACAGAAGCGGAGGAATGCTGTAACCAGATGTTACTGTAACCCCCTTACCCCCTCTCCATACCCACGGCCCCCTCCCCCCTACCCCATCTACCCCCCTCCCCCCTACCCCCTACCCCCGGCCCCCCCCCCTCACCTCAAGATGTGGCTAACGATCACAACGCTTTTCAATAAGATAGAAGTCTGATGACTATTCACTTTTGCCAGTCTATGTTTAGAATTCACATCGCTGGTTTCTCCCCATTTGATTGGATGGCTAAGCCATAAAACAGAAATAGTTTTTGTAGTTGCACATATTATCCAGCCAAAGTGTTTCTGAAGCGGAGGTTACTAACCGGATTGCCACTTAATGTGGCAGTAGAACGCTTGCGGAGTTATGAGATAACCCTCAAGGTGGCAGTAGAAGCAGCAAGAATTTACTTTGATCATAAAACTTTGCGTTTTGCAATTTGACGGGTGGTGAAGTGGCGGGTGGTCCAGAATTAACCAGTGAGTCAGGTGGTCGTGGTTGCAGCGCTGTAACCAGAGAGAGAGAGAGAGAGGGAGAGAGCTATAAAGCGCTCTACTCTGCAAGCGTTTACTGCCCTCTCGCGAGTCTTACTGTCAACTTGTGTAAATCGGTTCTGTTTAAATATGGGTCGTAAATATGTCGCTATCAACTTGTGTAAATCGAAGGCTATCTTAACTTCTTCAACCTTACAGTTCTATTTTAATCTAAACATGGGTTGTAAATATGTTGCTATCAACTTGTGTAAATCGAAGGCTATCTTAACTTCTTCAACCTTACGATTCTGTTCAAATATTTTCAGAGATTTAATTTGTTCAGTTTATCCTGGATCAATTCATTGCCGGAATGGTCAAACTCCAGCGTTTTGCCCTATTCAGTATTCAACATACAATAGCCTATTAATTAGATCACCTTTGCTGTAAATTAAACTAGCAGAACTAGTAACTAACTTCCACATATTTGTTAGTTATGAACCAGACAACCAGCCCGACACCGACAGGACTCTACACTACGGAGGAGATCGAGTATTCCAACGTTCTGGATATGGGTTACGGAGTTGTCTACTGTCTCTGTTTCTTCTTCGGGCTTATCGGCAACATCCTCAGTCTCTGTTACTTCATGGCACGGAATAAAGATCTCCCAAACACACTCTACAAGATAATATCTCTGACGGACATGGCGACTAGTATCGCGTCTCTAGCAGTAGGAGTCTCCTTCCTGTCCGCCCGCGAGCCTGGTCTGATATTTGGTAACGAGGTGATGTGTAACGTGTGGACCTATGTTTGGCACCTCACCTCCCGCCTCAGCATCTTCCTAGTGGTGGTGCTCTGCGGGTCCCGGACCTACTACCTCATGCAGCCCTTCAACAAGCAGCGGGTCGCCCCCTCACTCCTCGTTATCCTGGGCTACTGTCTCCTACAGATAGGACAAACAGTGGCCTTCCAATTCCAACAGAGGGCAGATGTGAACTTTGTGAGACCCATGGCAAGATGTGTCTTACTCTTCCCCAGTATAACTGACAAGAACATCATGCTGCTGAGTGACGTGGTGCGCATCTTCACCTTCGTCCTGCCCATGTTCTTTGTCTTCTTCAGCGTCCTCCTCTCCATCAGAATCACATTAAAGAAAGTGGACAGTGGGTGTGTCCGAGAGGGTTCAGGAAGGAAGGAGCTCCAGAAGTCCCGCAACAGAGCCACCATGACCATCCTCCTCTTCACGGGGGTCTACACCTTCCTCAACGTCCCCCTAGTGGTCAGTGAGATCCTGCAGACTATAGACTATCACTGTGACTACAGGTTTGACTTCCACTCCTTCGACTACAACGGTCAGTACATGTTGTACTATGACAACTTTGTGTCCCTGATGAGCGTCTCCCTGAACGCGGCTATAAACCCTCTCCTCTACCTCTGGAGAATGCCTGGCTGCAAAACATTTATACATAGGAAGAGCATGCAGATTGCAACTCCCAGAAAATCATGTAGCAAGAGGGATTCTACTGTTACCGAGTTCTTTGCTATGAGTCGAATCAATCAGAGACTATCCATTGACAAATGTTCGCAGCAAAACTTATCCGTATCGGTAAATTATAATGGGTCAATTCAATCTTTATAGATTACATAATACATAATACAAGATTAAATAAGTTACCGAAAGCAAAGGAACGGATCTATTTCATTTTTAGTTGTTTTTGATTGGTAGTGAAAGATATGGCTGTGTGGCATTATAATAGAGAAAGTGCATTTGTGCATTTAAATAATAAGGACCGCAGTTTCAAACCTACTTTTAAAGATCCATTTTCGGGGGTTTTATGAGATTTAAATATTTATTTTAACTAGATTTTTGTTTAAACGCTTTGGCTGATGCGATTATCATTAACGTGTTCATGTTTATTAATTTTTACTTTCATTGGCGGGTAATTGTTGTTGCTATTTATTTATTTATTCCCCTCAAAATGAACTATTCATTGTACAAGATACAGCATTGCAACAGGAGATCTGCAATATAAATATATGGTAAATTGCCAAATATATCAGTAAAATAATGGCGCTGATTCCTCGTGTAGAGATATGAAGTACGGAGTACCGCAAGGCAGCATCCTGGGTCCTCTACTCATTGTCCTATACATTAATGACTTACCTGGCATAAGCACACTGGCAAAGTTTATTTTATACGCAGATGATGCCAATATAATCGTATCCGGTAACAAAAAGATGGAAAACTTACTGCTGGCAGTAAATCTTTCTTAACTTCAACAGTAAAGTTTAACAGACATTTTATTCGATTTTAACCACAATTATAAACGGCATAATATTGTCCAATTTATTATTCTTTTCCACTATGAATGGTTTTATGAAGGAGTCGCAGCCCTCATCCAATTAACGGTTGCAACACTGCCACACATAGAAATTTAATATTCTTCAAGCACTCAAAGTTGTTTTTAGACTCAGCTCAGTGTCATGCCAATATTTGAAAATGTTCAAACCACAATGCAAGAAAGCAATACTGAAGCTGCTGAAAGGTGTCGAATTCACGAAATCAGTGGCTTTTCGGAGTTCAGCTATTATTTGCTTCTCATATGAGCTAATTTCTAGAATTAAGTTTTTACTCAATTCTTGTCGCTGTAACCTAAAAACTATGGTATATTCATAATTTTAAATTTTCGTACAACTTCAGACTGCAGATTGTTATCTCGCTTGTTGAACAAAGCTTAGCACATGTTATTAGAGAGCTTTGAAAACAACAATCTGTCGTTTGAATTATGTAATTATGTAATTATGTAATTCGTATCCAGTTTGGCCGCAGATTAACCAAACCTACTCGGACCCAACTACCAGTCAGCTAGCTATATACGAACCATAACATTGTTCTTAATTCGACAGTATTATCCCATTTTCAAGATCCAAACATTGTTTCGTGGTACTGGCATAGCACAGATTAGGGTGGGGTCACTGGGACATATTAGGGTGGGGTCACTGGGACATATTAGGGTGGGGTCACTGGGACATATTATGATGTGGTCGTTACTCATCTTTTAATCGAGAGATAAAAGCAGAGTTACTTTAGCGAAACTACCGCCGTAAGTAATCCTATGAGAAATACTTAAAAATGAATTCTAACCCGCACTGCTGAGGGCAGTTGATGGCAGATATCCAGATAGCCTCCAGGTAGTTGTGTTGAGTAGTGAGCTCCGCACACAGTTTCACAAGGTCCGGGAGTTTGTGTTTATTGTAGCCGGAACACACCTCCACAATCACCGTGGAAACGAAACTCTGCCCTGCTGTCTCGTCCTTACCGATCTGAACACACAGCGTTTGATTTTGTATTTCAGAGGCATCTTAAAAAGGGGGCAATCTTAAAAAGGGGCATCTTAAAAAGGGGGCATCTTAAAAAGGGGGCAATCTTAAAAAGGGGCATCTTAAAAAGGGGGCATCTTAAAAAGGGGGCAATCTTAAAAAGGGGCATCTTAAAAAGGGGGCATCTTAAAAAGGGGGCAATCTTAAAAAGGGGGCATCTTAAAAAGGGGGCATCTTAAAAAGGGGCATCTTAAAAAGGGGGCATCTTAAAAAGGGGGCAATCTTAAAAAGGGGGCATCTTAAAAAGGGGGCAATCTTAAAAGGGGGGCATCTTAAAAAGGGGGCATCTTAAAAAGGGGGCATCTTAAAAAGGGGGCATCTTAAAAAGGGGGCAATCTTAAAAAGGGGCATCTTAAAAAGGGGGCAATCTTAAAAAGGGGGCAATCTTAAAAAGGGGGCAATCTTCAATTCCACGTGTGAAACTTTTGCAAATTAAAATTATAACTCCGTTTCTTTTTTGATTAAATTCTGTTTTAAGAGCTTATAAAATCAGCAATATCCTTTTTGCAACTATTTTCAGTTTATTCCTCAAACGAAGTATTGTTGGCTAACAGTAACATTTCTGATTTCTCGCTATTAGTATTACTTAAACGGTGGCAGAAGCTTTCAGTCACCGGGCAAGTGGTAGTGAGAAATACTTCAGTGAAACTGGGAAACTCCGGAAACCATTCTAACTGTCACCAAGATGCAGTTAGGCCTAACTGGTTAGGGCTAACTGGTTAGGCCTAACTGCATCTTGATGACAGTAAGAATTCAAGGATTGATATATTTTGACATGGTCAATTCAGGATATTAATAGTTGTTCTAGTCTACTACGGCTTTACAAATTTTGGAAGCATGTAGGGATATATATCTGATACCAATCGTATATACTAAAAATACTCTAGCACAATTGTAACTGCAGTTTTACAGAACTCTAAATGCTTAATGAACACTCTTGCAGGTACCACCCGTATTCACACTCAGACCTGAGTTTAGTCATTTTCCGATACGAGATTTTACCAAAACCCATAATCATGGGTAGAGTGGACCGCTGTCAGTGTCTCTCTTTCCCAAACAAAAGGAAATGATATTAATTTGATTGACCGTTCTCAAATGCAAAATGATACCGAGAATGAAATCGGTCGCTCGCTTTTCCCATTCATTCACGGCTTACGAATTGTATAATTAAGTTTCGATTGATTACATCAATCAGATGCTGTAAAAATCTCTTTGGGTTGCGTTCGGGTCGATAGTATTTCGGGGTAAGGGACAAGGGTGGTAGTTATTACTTATTGAACAAGCTGAAGTTTATTGAATCTTCATTGCCGAGTACAGCTGCCTTTGGGTAGTTCTTCTTAATCTATTACAATTGTAAATGAATGGGAAAAGCGAGCGACCGATTTCATTCTCGGTATCATTTTGCATTTGAGAACGGTCAATCAAATTAATATCATTTCCTTTTGTTTGGGAAAGAGAGACACTGACAGCGGTCCACTCTACCCATGATTATGGGTTTTGGTAAAATATCATCTCTTTTTGATTATAATGTCAGGGTACTTTATAAAGTCGAAATATAAACTGATATCTTCATTAATAAGGAGGAAGTTTCAACGATTTCGAAATTTTTCCTTTAAAAACATTTCCTTGTGTTTAGGGAAGCATATCGGTCGATCACTGACTGAATATGCCACTTAATACTCATTCAAGTTGGCATTAAATTCATATATAATGACATTAAACTGTCGTGGCAAAGCAGAATTTGTTGGAAATCACGAATGAGCAAAATTCTCACCTTTCGCACGTGCAAACTTTGAGCGGACGTTGCGTGCGCATCCAATATTGAATCGCCGTAAATTTTTGCATGTAATTGTTTTATATATAGCTTGATAAGCATGCAAAGTTTCAAAGTATTTCAAGAAGAACTGTAATCACAACGGCACTCTAAAGTTGACAGAAAATGACGAAAACAGCAATTTTAAGTGATTTTAGCGATTTTCTATCAATTTGGGCGTGTCCCCACGTGTGCAACTTTTCGATTTTCAACTTTAAAACTAGCCTAATGCACAATTTATACCTATAGGAAGCAGAACTGAGCTCCACAACCCAAGGCATGGCCCAACACCAGAGAATACTAAATCGCAAAATTGACGTTTTTATAAAATAATTCTTCAAAAAAGCACAAACTTCAATGACGAATATCTTTATGAAGGAGCAAGCTAGAAAAACTTTCCGATAGATTTTCAGAATGCTTGAACAATTATCTAAGATGAAAATTTACTCAGATTTTGAATAAAATTACTCCTTAATGGTTTAAAATTAATTTTAAAAGTTATTACTTTGTCAAAAATCAAGTTTTAAAAACGGTTAACTTGATGACGTCATCAAGGGGTGTTTATGACGTCAAATAATTTTTTTATACAATGTAAACTAAAGTATAAACAATTATTTGCAAGACCTGTGGTCGGGAATGGCTGTATCTTTTATACTTTTGAATCTATGGACACTTAAATACAGGCTACAATTGACTGGCAAAGCGTCTATCCCTGAATATATGTATATATATATATGTATATAGATATCACGACAATCTGTCATAAAACAGGGGTTCTAGAAAACCCACTTCCCGATGTTCCTGAAACCTGAAACTTTAATTTGCAGTCGATTTGGTCAACGTCTAGACGCCCTGAAAAATTTCAGATCTCTAACTCAATTTTAACATGGTTTTTAAGGCACCTGAATATGGCGATTTTGGGTTTTTTACCGAATTTCGTATAACAGTGCTGGCGAGTATTTTATGCAAATTTCTTAAAAATCTCAACATAACTATTTTTTATTCCTGTCATCTTTGACATCAAATTAGAATGTTTTGAACTAAAAATAAATCTGCTGAACGACTTCCGATGAGTCTTAATGCCTGAAAAACTCCTGCCGGAGGCGGCGGCCTTCGGCCGCCGCCTCCGGCCGGAGTGCACGCTTCGCATGCACGAAAGAGGCTTCCGACGAGTACCAAAGGGGTTATAATAGTAAAGGGGGTACATAGTATACCCCCAATAAAGACACCGTTCGTGCTTGCCAGCACTGTGATTGGGGACGGGTTCTATAAACAAACAAACAGTTGTTCTAGTCTTTTAAGACAGCTTCTAGTTCTATGACTATATAAATATCTCCGGGATTTCGACGCGGGATCATATTATCACTCAGCCCGGCCCGCTGTTAGATAAACATCTCAAGGTGATATCATCCCGCCCCGGAAATTTGTATAAACCCGGCCCGCTTTTTAGTCGTAACTGATGTTTATCATTCAATTCTCCGACTTACAATAATCAATGATACTGCTGATTAGAACTCGATAATAGTAGAACAGTTAGACGCGCGATCACGTGGGCGCGTCACGTGCGTACCACGTGCCACCAATAGCATACGCCGAGTCTATACCACGTGACACGAAAGCGCACCACGTGATATGAAACATCGTAACCGTCCACTTCTTTTACACGCAAATTCCTGGGAACGTTGCCAAAGCAGCTAATTCTTGGAATTTCTCCAACGCGTGGCGTGAGAATTTGGCGACTAGCCAGCTACCCTTGTCCGTGCCCTAAAAATAGTATTGTTTTGCTTGCTCTCCTTCCAGCTCTTGTTCCTGTTAACGTTCAAGCTATTGCTCCACTATGACAGATCGGTTTGACATTCAGATTGATGAACTGCTTTCCAATCGTGTTCCGGACAGTACAGTTAGTCTTCTAAAGTATAAATCCCTTGTCGAAATCGCCGGAGATAATTATAATCCATAAACACTTCACGCTCAGGGCTAAATAAATGTAATCCCTCAGCTGGCGCTTCGGGATTACATATTAACACAAAACTCGTGCGCTGCGCGCACTCGTATGTGTTTATCAGATCATCCCGCTAGCGCGGGATGATCTGTTATATAAACCCTTTGCGTGGCGGGTTTATGTTATTATATCTATCCGAGTCCGGCTCTGAAGTAGAACTTACAGTTGAACGACCCTGAGACAAATTAATGAAAAGGTAGCCGGAGTCAGGCAGGTTACTAATTACCTTGTCGGACATCTCCATGATATTGACATGGCGCGGGTTACTGATAGAGTCTTTAAATGTGTCCGAGTGAGGGGAGATGTTGCTAGGAATCGCTTTCAGTCTCTGTTTCTTCGAACTGCTGTATTTCGGGCTGTTGGGCTCCTGGAGGTGGAACAGAATTAGTCTGCACGATTTTAAACGTGTGCCTGCTCTTTAAACGTGTGCCTGCTCTCTGATCTAAATAGATGTTATTAAAAGTTTCAGCGTAGATATTAGAGAAATTATAACGCAGTTATTACTTGGGGAAGTATGATAGCTGCTAACAGCTACTTCAACTATGAAAAGTAAATACTTAGTTAATAAGTAGTTGTAAGTATAGAACCTAATCTAAAGTTCACCTCTCGATTGTTGGATAGTTTAGGGCTGGCCTTGTGTAGCTCCTGTCTGTACACCAGGATACACTTCTCAGCTGCACTCACCGGACTGTCTTTCTCAGTTAAACGGGACAGGGCTGAAATGAACATGAAGCTGTCAGATTCTAATGCGTGGGGGGGGGGGGGGGGGGGGGTTGACGTTTACATGAGATCTGTGGGACACACCACAGATTGAGCAATTCTGTCGGGTTCAACAGGAGGGCTACTTAATAGAATCGATCAAGCTCCGACAGGTTATCTCAAACAACATCCCCTATCTCATTGATTTGTTTGAAAATCAATAAGCACTAATGTAACGTGACCTTTCCAGACCAGCCTACAGGACCTCACAGCACTGACACTGCCTCAGTCAGGACCAGTCACCGGAGTATATTAAACAGTTTCTTATTTTAGTAACATTTAACAAACACCGACAGGATGGAAATAAATCAAGTCACATGGTTACCATGGTAATTAATATGTCTACAAACATTGATCAAACCACTTTATTTCATCACGATCCTGATGTTTTGGTGATGTTTATATGACAGTTCATCAAACTTCAATTTCCAGGTATTTTTGTAGAATCCATTCAGTGACGTTTATCTAATTGCTAGCGGTGAAAGAAATTTCAACCGTTCTATGACAATCATGAAGAACATCGCGGGTGGTTCAATATTAAAATGCTCCTTCCGTTCAAGAACAAGTGTTTTGAGAGATGCCACATGTGACATCTCTCTCAAAACATACCATCACATGTGACATCACATGCAAATATTGACCGGCACTTATTTTTTGCATGGACCAGGACTTGCTAACACTGCCGGGACCACGACTAACAATGGTTCCAGCAAAACAAACTATTTAAGAGCTTTGGCGTACTTTATTTTATTTACTTAGTTGGTAGGTAGACTTAAAATAGATATTTAGTCGGTGTATGGGATTTCCAACTATTGATTTTAGCGTAACCATACATGCATAGTAACTGGCTGGTTTAGCGTGAAACACCCTCTTCGTGGTATATACATGAAGTCCAAACTATTCTGTTTAGGGCAGGTACCATGTTTAGGGCAGGTACCATGTTTACTGTTTAGGGCAGGTATTAACGCGGGTTGATGAAGCACGAAAGGTTCTCATACCATGATTATTATCTAAAAGTGTCCAACGTCCAAACAATTTAAAATGTTTACAAGCGATTCAGTCATTCACATATCTGAAATGTAATTCATATTGAATATTCATTGTATATGCCATGTACATATCTAATATCAATGTTTAAGCTGAGTTTGAAATTATGATTTGCAATTAGAATTGCTCTTGTGCAAGCAACAAGGTTACCAGGTTACCAGGTTAACAGGTTACTAGGTTACTAAGGTTACTAGGTTCAGAGTAATATCTAACCAGTCTAGCCCTACTGAGCACTAGGGCTCCAGATGTTTGACGTGACATTTGACGCACGTCAAAGATTCTGGGCGGAAGTGGCAACAAGTGGTTGTAATAAGAAATTAACGTCATACTAACAAACCTCATACTCAAAATATAACCCTCGTGGTTAACCATTATTGTAACCATAGTAACATAGCGTAACACCCTCTTAACCATTATTGGGTAGTTTGATGTCAATAATATCGTAAAATGAGAGATTTTATTATTCTATTCGAAATATTCTAATATTCTAATGACCAGAGACGACTAGCCAGTAATATTATTAAACATCGTGTCTGAACTGCTAATATGGTTGCTGAACTGCTAATATGGTTGCTGAACTGCTAATATGGTTGCTTGCTTGAGAGGGATCCTATAAAACTCTTTAAATAAACTTGTCAAACATAAAGAAATGCTGACGTTACTCAACTTGAGAGATGCTGACGTTACTCAATTTAAGAATAAATGTAACAGCGGTTTACAAATAGGATGAGCTGCTTCTGCGAACAGGTTTACTAACTACTGTCGCAACATAAATATTCCATTTTATATCCTTCTCGGTACTCGTCAAGTTTTATTTCCAGTGAACTATCGTAAAAAGAGTTTCTAGTTTAGGCGAGCTGGCTGATAACCATAGTAACTGGCTGGTAACCATAGTAACTGGCATGTAACCATAGTAACTGACTGGTAACCATAGTAACTGGCTGGTAACCATAGTAACTAAGGTGACATCACAGCTGATGTGGCCCGTCAAACCTGGGACTACTCAGTGAAATGATGTAATTATCACGATTTACTTATTTGCCAAATATCGTGTGAACGGACGCAGTTTACTACTATACAGTCTACCACTACGGTCAGCATAATGTTGGAGTGTGTGAAGGTAAAATAACGGCATCATTCTACAATTTCAAAGTGATCAGATATTATGGTAAGGCATGACTCAAGGCCTTACTGACTCAAGATACCCTCAGGCAAATAGAGATATAATAGCTAGATTGTTACCCACCGTCAAACACGAACTCAGTATCTCGCTAGTAGATAATATATAATAGCTAGATTGTTACCCACCGTCAAACACGAACTCAGTATCTCGCTAGTAGATAATATATAATAGCTAGATTGTTACCCACCGTCAAACACGAACTCAGTATCTCGCTAGTAGATAATATATAATAGCTAGATTGTTACCCACCGTCAAACACGAACTCAGTATCTCGCTAGTAGATAATATATAATAGCTAGATTGTTACCCACCGTCAAACACGAACTCAGTATCTCGCTAGTAGATAATATATAATAGCTAGATTGTTACCCACCGTCAAACACGAACTCAGTATCTCGCTAGTAGATAATATATAATAGCTAGATTGTTACCCACCGTCAAACACGAACTCAGTATCTCGCTAGTAGATAATATATAATAGCTAGATTGTTACCCACCGTCAAACACGAACTCAGTATCTCGCTAGTAGATAATATATAATAGCTAGATTGTTACCCACCGTCAAACACGAACTCAGTATCTCGCTAGTAGATAATATATAATAGCTAGATTGTTACCCACCGTCAAACACGAACTCAGTATCTCGCTAGTAGATAATATATAATAGCTAGATTGTTACCCACCGTCAAACACGAACTCAGTATCTCGCTAGTAGATAATATATAATAGCTAGATTGTTACCCACCGTCAAACACGAACTCAGTATCTCGCTAGTAGATAATATATAATAGCTAGATTGTTACCCACCGTCAAACACGAACTCAGTATCTCGCTAGTAGATAATATATAATAGCTAGATTGTTACCCACCGTCAAACACGAACTCAGTATCTCGCTAGTAGATAATATATAATAGCTAGATTGTTACCCACCGTCAAACACGAACTCAGTATCTCGCTAGTAGATAATATATAATAGCTAGATTGTTACCCACCGTCAAACACGAACTCAGTATCTCGCTAGTAGATAATATATAATAGCTAGATTGTTACCCACCGTCAAACACGAACTCAGTATCTCGCTAGTAGATAATATATAATAGCTAGATTGTTACCCACCGTCAAACACGAACTCAGTATCTCGCTAGTAGATAATATATAATAGCTAGATTGTTACCCACCGTCAAACACGAACTCAGTATCTCGCTAGTAGATAATATATAATAGCTAGATTGTTAACCACCGTCAAACACGAACTCAGTATCTCGCTAGTAGATAATATATAATAGCTAGATTGTTACCCACCGTCAAACACGAACTCAGTATCTCGCTAGTAGATAATATATAATAGCTAGATTGTTACCCACCGTCAAACACGAACTCAGTATCTCGCTAGTAGATAATATATAATAGCTAGATTGTTACCCACCGTCAAACACGAACTCAGTATCTCGCTCTGAGATAAGCAGGCAGGTCTGGTACTTCTTCAGAACTGCAGTAATACACAGGTAGATGTCCAGTGGTACTGTCACGAACTTCTTCAGTCCCGCGAACCGGTTCATCATGTCCATGGACAGTGTCATCATTGACCTGCGGAGTGCGGAGGAGATGTTAGGAGTTGTTAACTGACTGATACCTATAGTAACTGACTGGTAACCATAGTAACTGACTCGGTACAGTAAGGGATGGTTCATATTTTACGTAAGCCAGATCATGACTTTTACAATGCAATTATGTAGAAAGTACACTAGCGCAACCTTTTCCAAACTCTTTACCCCTTCTGCTGGTGTTCGTAGTTATGTATATTATATGTGAACAATCCCTTATAGTCTCGAGGAGGGTAAAGGGCCGGGTAATGACAGAGTTTCCTTATAAAGGAGGTCAGTGGCAACACATATTAGTGAGGACGGAGAAAGAGAGTACCTTGCGTTAGCAAATATTCATGTTTGTCTGTTTATAATATTTAAATATTTATCAACGTTTATCATGAATTAAATACCATTGAGATTTGGAATATATTATATATGTGCAAGGCACATATAATCATTTGTGATATCTACGACAGATGGTGCAAGCTGGCCATGTTTTACTTGTTGGTTGTAGGAGAAAGCCACTTTAAAATATTTGTTTGTAAAATTTTGTAACACACTATTTTGAAGGGCTTCAGATATTTTGTTATTGTAGATTCTTGTGTGGCCAAGCAAAAACGCAAAAAAAATTCCGAGGCCTAGCTCCAAATGCTTAAGAACTGCCTTGCTTCATTCGCCGACATTGCGAAAGTCGAAAATTCGCGAGCGGGCCGCAGAAAACAGAAAATTGTTAACTTTCTGTATAGGTGGGAGTTCTGATTTCCTTTACGACAAGATAGACTAGAGCAGTGTGTCGGTTTGAGGTTATGTGGCCTTCATCAGAGATCCGTTAACAGCATTTGTCCTTCATCTCCTTGCATGCTCAGGCTTGCCAACCATCATCTTTCCATCTTCCATCTTCTTATTAGATGTAGCAGTGGAGGTGACTACATCTAATATGAAATATGTTTCGTCTGTGCAAGTCCTCAGCAAACTCTTCATCAGTGGTTTGTGATAGGAGATTATCACCACCAATTTGTCAGGAATGAAGTCTCCAGCGGCTCAGAGTTTTTTTTTCTAATCCGGTCAGAAGCGAGAATGTCAATGGTACAATATATTAAGGCTTCAAAATGAAACTCAGACCTTACCTGACATCTCCGGAGAGCTCCATGAGGAAGTACATCAGCTCCACTTGGGAAACTGTAGGAAGAATGATGGGCGAACTTCCTAATTTGGGAGTAGTACCTGCAGGAGGTACTGCAGGCAGTATGGGGTCCATCAATCTCTGGGTTATCTGAAACATTTCCACGTTTCAGCTGATGATCAAGTGCGCGCGCCGCGCGCTACTTTACTAAGCAGTGGGACTTGTAACGTCTACTCACAAGATTCTATTTTGCGCGTTCCATAAATTTCAAGATTTTGACCCCAGCGCTCCGCGTTGCTATTTTCAATTCTCAGAGGTTGCAGATTGAAAGCGCCCGCCATTTTTTCTCAGGGTTTTGTTACACATGACGACAAAACTAAATACAAATAAAAACATATTGCGATTTGTTTAGTACACAAATCGTTTAGTAGTTAGACGACAGAAACACTTCCCATTCAGTAATAACAATTAAGCACGCGAGGGAGGGGGAATCCAACATAAACTTTTATTTTGTTGGAAGGTTCAGCTAAAAGCTGGCTGCTTCTGGCTTTAAAAAAGTACATTGCTTGGTGAAGACTATAACAGAGGGCTGTGGGTTGAAAACGAGGAACCCACCATACACTTGTAGACTGGAGGAAGGATCTTGAATCTCTCAATAGTAGAGGAGAGCTGTTGAAGGGTTGCGTAAGGAGCGCTGTTCATGGCTCCCAGATTTAGTAGCGCTGTTTTCAGGGTGTTGAAAGTATTTGTGAACTCCATTGGTAGGGGAGCTTGTACTCCTGTACTCCCGAACAGTAGGTGGGCTCTTTGTTTTAGCTCTTCCTGCGCAGGAATATTCAGTTATTAAAACAGGAATAACTAATTTCTTGTAATTTTACTATTTGAATAACTTCTTGAATTTTACAAGAAAGTTACAACTTCGTAACTGGTTCTCATGTAATAACAGGGTGCTCCTTCATAAATACATACTTTAAAAGTAAAGATCGAAGCGGAACTTCTTGTGCGCTCTCATCTCACCATTTTAATATAATTTGTAAGCCTCGTACGTTATGAAGCATTCTTATTTTTACTGCTGACGACGAAGAATCATCAATTATAGTGTTATATATCGATTATAGTACAATCACACGAATACACTAATAACTAGAAAGTGTGCGGTGTTTTATCAAATTCGGTGATCTAATGTTATGTCATGAGTCAAAACGAAATATTAATCTTTAATTGGTCATAAATACGTCTTGGAACTCGGTAACAAAAAAGGATATTGATACTGTTCATTTTTATGAGAATATAAAGTATTGCTTGCTCGCTTTTTATACAGTTTAATACTTTTGGAAGTAATTTATTTAAAATCCAAAAGTATTATATGATTATCAAAATGATCACTCGACTAACGCGAGACTAGATGATAGGGTTAGTATCCAACTAACACCTGTCCGGCTACTTGGATATTGCCCATCTCTATTTTAGAAATAACCTACGGAAAGGGTTCTGTCTGAACATATCGCAGGTGTATTAGTGCGGTGGAGGGCTTACACTAAAATAGATATGAGTTAGAAGTGTATATCTTATTATACAGAGGGTATGTGTCTATCTAATTATATAACGGATATGAATTATGGGACTCCTAGCAGGTGTGTGTTAGCTCTTCCAATAATATCTACAATCTATATATATTATACTAGCAGGTGTGTTCCAGTAATATCTACAATCTATATACTATACTGAACAGGCCCTACTTCCTTGTGGTTATCACCGGACAGCTGAATGGTATGTACAGAGTTGGTAAATACACCAAGTATGCAGTGTCTAGTGTTAGCTTTCTCTAATATATCTACAAATATCCCACATATTCTAACACAGCGTACCTTATGAGTATCTGTGAGAGGAAGTGACAAGACATACTGAATGTGTCTGGGTAAGGTATGTAACTCTTTACACAGCAAGGAGAAGTCTTGTTGGTTTGGAGCTAGGTTCATTTTGGAGAGCCTCATTGGCAGATCCCCACGTGATATTAGTTTCTTTAAATACTTCTCGTAGCTGAACATTGACCGGACCAGCTCTCCGAATAGGATTATCATGTTCTTGAATTGTATCCTATCTTCATCATTTACTGAAAACGTGGCTAATATCAGTAAGTTCGGATCGTAACCAGATAACAAAATAAAATAAAAATTATAAAACTTATGAAATATTTAGAAAATAAACAGTTAGTAGTTACCTGTCCAAGTAGGTGCGCTCTCATTCAAATACTTGAAGAGAATATCCTGAAATATATACTCGTCCTTCTTTGCTTTCTTGCCGGGTCCCCCGTCTAACAGGGCTGTTTGTCTCTTCTTCAGCAGCTCTGCTACAACTAACCATCTGTGGGAACCGGTACGTCGGTGTGTTACTGCCCACTCACACAGACCTGAACAAGAGGGCACTGTTAGTGGTTACTAATGGTTACTAGTGGTTACTAATGGTTACTAGTGGTTACTGTGGGAACCGGTAAGTCGGTGCGTTACTGCCCACTCACACAGACCTGAACAAGGGGACACTCTTAGTGGTTACTAATGGTTACTAATGGTTACTTATGGTTACTAATGGTTACTTGTGGTTACTAATGGTTACTAGTGGTCACTAAAGGTTACTAGTGGTTACTGTGGGAACCGGTACGTCGGTGTGTTACTGCCCACTCACACAGACCTGAACAAGGGGACACTCTTACTACTACTTGTACTTGAAAAGGTCTCCTCCTAGTCGTTGGAGTGGCCTGCACCACATAGTAACTCCTTTCTCCGGTGTATTAGACCTCTCCAGTGAACCCTGTCTGTAGCTTGTTGTTCTGCATCTTCTATTGTGATGTTATCGACACCTGCGAAGATTGCTGCATCCTCCCGGACGCATGACAACCAGTTTTTCCGAGGTCTGCCTCTTGATCTTTTACCATGCTTTGGGATCCAGTGCAGAAGATATTTGGGTATTCTTTCTTCTGGCATCCTCACCACATGGCCAAACCATCGGAGCCTAGCTGCTCGTACGAAAGTATCAACAGGGGCGATGTTAGCCCGCTTAAGTACGTCAGCATTAGATACGTGATAAAACCATTTGATTTTCAGGATTCTTCTCAGACATCTATGATGGAACACCTCGAATCTTTTCATCTGCGTCTGAGTGGTATTCCATACCTCACTTCCATATAGCAGTATAGTGAGGACAGCCGCTTTGTATATCCTGATTTTAGTTGGTGTCTTGATGTTGCGACTGTACCATATACTGCTAAGCTGATAGAATGCCCCAGAGGCTTTTTGAATTCGAGCTGATAATTCTTTGTCAATTGTTCCATTCCCACTGATGATAGCACCCAAGTAAGTGAAACTGCTGACCTGCTGTATTGGGAGACCTTCCACACTGATGTCCATAGTGTCGTCTTTAGAATACGGCCTCTGCGAAGCACTTTTACTGACAACCATGCTCTGTGTTTTGCCAGCATTAATCTTCAAACCCGCATAGGCACTGTATTTGCAGAGAAGGTCAGTGGTTTCCTGCAGCCCTTCTTTTGAGTTATCTAACATGGCCATGTCATCAGCGTAATCAGTGTCCAAGAGATGTTTCTCTTCTACCCCGGGGGCTGGCAGCTGTAATAAAGCCCCCTTACTAATGACCTTGTTTAGTTCCATAAGGTATGCTGAAAAATTCAAACAAAAGTTGAAGACTGGTGGTCCCTGTATATCACCTTGCCCAGTTCCCGAGTTGACATCAAACCAACCTGTTACCTCTCCATTGACCCTAACAGCACTAACTGTGTGAGTAAAGAACGCCTTCATGATTCTAATGTACTTGTCAGGTAGGCCGTAGTGCTGCATACTTCTCCAAATGAACTGCCTGTCAATCGAATCAAAAGCTGCTTTGAAATCAACAAAATTAATATACAGAGGGATATTATACTCAATACATTGGTGTATAATACAGCGGAGTGAATAAACCTGGTCAATACATGAGCGATTCTGTCTAAAACCACTTTGATTCTCCCGGAGAAATTTTTCCATGCCAATGCTAAGTCTCCGCAGGAGTATCATCTGAAGGAGCTTCGAGGCTGTGGATCTTAATGTTATGCCTCTGTTGTTAGCGCAATGAGAGGTGTCACCCTTCTTTCCAACGATGATAATAACACCTTTGGACCAATCCTCAGGAATCTTCTCATCTTCCCACACTTTCTTGAACAACACAACTAGTTGATCAACCAGCCCATCCTGTCCATACTTAAGTTGCTCGTTGGTGATACCATCCACTCCTGGACTTTTGTGATTCTTGAGTTTTTTAAGGGCATCAACAATCTTGTTTCTTGTAGGAGCCTCATCCGAATCGGAAAGGTCGTCAAAACTGGGTTGCGGAAGGATGTTGTCTAGGTCAGAAATATTGGCCTCTTGTGGGGGAGGGTTCAATAGCCTAGAAAAGTGCTCTTTCCACCTTTCTTTCTGGGCATGTGGGTCGGAAATCAACTGGCCAGATACGTCTCTAACTGCAGTTGACTGCTTCTTCTTCTTTCCAGATATGACATTGATCTTCTGCCAGTTGATCTTCTGGACACTCTTAGTGGTTACTAATGGTTACTAATGGTTACTTATGGTTACTAGTGGTTACTAGTGGTCACTAAAGGTTACTAGTGGTTACTGTGGGAACCGGTACGTCGGTGTGTTACTGCCCACTCGCACAGACCTGAACTCCTGAACAAGGGGACACTCTTAGTGGTTACTAATGGTTACTAATGGTTACTAATGGTTACTAATGGTTACTAGTGGTCACTAAAGGTTACTAGTGGTTACTGTGGGAACCGGTACGTCGGTGTGTTACTGCCCACTCACACAGACCTGAACAAGGGGACACTCTTAGTGGTTACTAATGGTTACTAATGGTTACTTATGGTTACTAAAAGTTACTGTGGGAACCGGTACGTCGGTGTGTTACTGCCCACTCACACAGACCTGAACAAGGGGACACTCTTAGTGGTTACTAATGGTTACTAATGGTTACTTATGGTTACTAGTGGTTACTGTGGGAACCGGTACGTCGGTGTGTTACTGCCCACTCGCACAGACCTGAACAACGGGGCACTCTTAGTGGTTACTAATGGTTACTAATGGTTACTAGTGGTTACTAGTGGTTACTGTGGGAACCGGTACGTCGGTGTGTTACTGCCCACTCGCACAGACCTGAACAAGGGGGCAGTCTTACTTTTACTTTGAATTAAATCAGTTTTCGTTTGTTAAAAGATTCTACATTATCTCGCGCTCAGTCAGTGAGCAAAAATTAATTTTTACGGTCATCTCGTTATAATCATTAGTTTCTTTTTCAATTTTATCTCGAGCTAGCTTCCCCCCGACAGCTACCGTCTGTTTCACTTTCACTTTCACTTACCCGACACAATTGGTGCATCGTCCTTGAGTTGGTCGTGGTGCGGTTTAGTGACCGGACCAAATACTTTCTTGTACAGACCCTGAACCACAGTGTACTGCTTATCTGCAAATGTGTTACTTTTAAAGTATGTATTTATGAAGGAGCACCCTGTATTTACCTAACATTATGGCTTGGTGAGATGTCAAACCCACTTTTAATACGACGCAATAAATTAACAGCATCACTTTTAATGCTACCGGTTCTAAAACTATTCACATTTATAAAACACCAAGATATGAAGAGGCCATGATCGTCCAAATCTAGATACACGTGCACTAGATATATACACGTGCACTAGATATTTCTTTATTTTGTAGCGTATAATTAACAACACACACGAGAGTCGGGGACACATATTATTATATCTACAGAGCTTAATTAGTATAATTACAATTAAACTAATTAAAAAGATTGAGTGGCCCAGAGTTTGTCCGGTAAAGTGCCCTGTAACTGGGAGGGTCTGCGGTGCAATTACAGTACATAGTTAATTCTACAATAATTTGATTCTGCATTCCAGCACGGGCCGGGTCATGTCTAATAGTGCACGGGCCATGTTCCGAGCACCAATACCGCTCCGGACAATATGTTATTGTTATAATCCGACCACTCAATAAACCCGACCAATTGAACACGCATGATAACTGAACCTACATAACAAACATGTTCAAGAATCAAGAGTCCCTAATAACAGCAACTGAGTGACAAACAGAAAGTATATCTGCACAAACACGCAAGTGACCGTCAATTAACGATAGTCAATAGCTTCATACATATCTGATAACAATTAACAAATAATCCACTCAGATAATTAGCTACTGAAGCACTAACTGAAGTACTATTGGTTACTAGTGGTTACTAGTGGTTACTAGTGGTTACCTCCCTGAAGTACTAACCTAAGTACTAGTGGTTACTAGTGGTTACTAGTGGTTACTAGTGGTTACCTCCCTGAAGAACTAACCTAATTATTAGTGGTTACTAGTGGTTACTATGGTTACTAACCCTGCTGAGCTGTGTAGAAGTTGTGCTCGTCTAGTGTGGTTAACATTGGTATAACAGACTAGAAGGGGCCTGGTTACTATGGTTACTATGGTTACTATGGTTACTATGGTTTCTATGGTTATTAACCCTGTTGAGCTGTGTAGAAGTTGTGCTCATCTAGTGTGGTTAACATTGGTATAACAGAAGGGGCCTGGTTACTATGGTTACTAATGGTTACTAACCCTGTTGAGCTGTGTAGAAGTTGTGCTCGTCTAGTGTGGTTAACATTGGTATAACAGAAGGGGCCTGGTTACTATGGTTACTATGGTTACTAACCCTGCTGAGCTGTGTAGAAGTTGTGCTCGTCTAGTGTGGTTAACATTGGTTTAACAGAAGGGGCCTGGTTACTATGGTTACTATGGTTACTATGGTTACTAACCCTGTTGAGCTGTGTAGAAGTTGTGCTCGTCTAGTGTGGTTAACATTGGTATAACAGAAGGGGCCTGGTTACTATGGTTACTATGGTTACTATGGTTACTATGGTTACTAACCCTGCTGAGCTGTGTAGAAGTTGTGCTCGTCTAGTGTGGTTAACATTGGTATAACAGAAGGGGCCTGGTTACTATGGTTACTATGGTTACTATGGTTACTATGGTTACTAACCCTGTTGAGCTGTGTAGAAGTTGTGCTCGTCTAGTGTGGTTAACATTGGTATTACAGAAGGGGCCTGGTTACTATGGTTACTATGGTTACTATGGTTACTATGGTTACTAACCCTGTTGAGCTGTGTAGAAGTTGTGCTCGTCTAGTGTGGTTAACATTGGTATAACAGAAGGGGCCTGGTTACTATGGTTACTATGGTTACTATGGTTACTAACCCTGCTGAGCTGTGTAGAAGTTGTGCTCGTCTAGTGTGGTTAACATTGGTATAACAGAAGGGGCCTGGTTACTATGGTTACTATGGTTACTATGGTTACTAACCCTGTTGAGCTGTGTAGAAGTTGTGCTCGTCTAGTGTGGTTAACATTGGTATAACAGAAGGGGCCTGGTTAGTGTCCTCCCCCATTATCCACCTCTCCTCAGATATCACGCTCCTCGCTCTCACATCCTCCGTGCTGTCCTGTATCTCACTTCTAAACTGAAAGTGAAACTCCTTTCAGGGAAAGAGAAACTAATTGTGGGAGTGAAAAACGCGACTTTCAATAAGGTATAATCCTCGGATTGGTGGTTAAATATCACGCCGAATCGTTTAACTTTCATTAAAAGTTGATAATTTTAGGCTCATGACCGTCTGAACATGTCATCAATGTACCCTGATAATCTGATAAGTGTGCTTTATCCTACAAGATATAATGTAGCAGAGGAGCGGTTCATACTTGACACAGACACTACTACTATACTACACAGACAATGCATATCTGTGTTAAGAAGATGTGTGTTGTCACATACTAGTGGTTACTAATGGTTACTAGTGGTTACTAATGGTTACTAGTTGTCACATAATGTCACTAGTAATGTGATTATCAAACATTAGTTCTACAATCGATGATTTAACTGCTAACTAAAACTGACAAGTGTAACTGTTGGCTTCCTTAATTAGACACAAATCTTCCTGGACACGTCACTTGACAGAAACATAGCGGATATTTAACACTCACATTCATCTTCAATTACGATACTCCACGGCACTATACGGTACCTATACTGTATAGTGCCGCGTAGTACTATACCTATACCGTATAGTACTACGCGGGACTATACGGTACCTATACCTCTCCTCACCTGTTCTACTTGTGGTTCAGTGAGGGATTTAGGGAAAGGAAGAGAAGCAGGGTAGCAAGGGAGGTGATCTAGAGGAGACTCCTTCTCTACAACTGCACCTGAAACTGCACCTAAAACTGCACCTGACACTGCACCTGACTCTATAACACTCAGTGGAGATTGCTGAAATTATAATCATGTTAATTAAGTGGAATTAGAATTTGAGTTATTGTAATTTCAAATAACTAATTAATTAATTGTCATTTCAAATCAAATTTCACGATCGGAAGAAATTCTGGTATGAATAGCAAATTTGTGTGACTCATGAGAGTGAAACTAGTGGTTACTAGTGGTTGCTAATGGTTGCTAATGGTTACTAGTGGTAACTAGTGGTTACTAATGGTTACTAGTGGTTACTAGTGGTTACTAGTGGTTACTAATGGTTACTAGTGGTTACTAGTGGTTAATTTTGGTCACTAGTGCAGTGGTTACTAATGGTTACTAGTGGGACAAGACATACCCAGGCCCGTTGGAAGACCAGAGCAGTGGGACACATGAGAGTGATACGTTGCAACACAGTGGAGAAGACGAGGAGGAGGGCGTCGTGATACGGACAGTCTGACTTGGCTGGGACGTGACATTCCTTTACTGCACTGTCTGCGGAGCGTTAGGGGTTAGTTCAAACACTGAAACACAAGGATAGTTTATATAAGGGGTTAGTGGCACTTCAAACACAAGGATAGTTTTTGTAAGGGATGGAAATTGCAGGGTAAGTGGTACTTTAAACACAAGGATAGTTTTTATAAAGGAGGAGCTCAGTAGATCTAATAGTTAGGAACGCTTTATTTTTGTTCTATGTATATCAAATCTACATATAATAATTTCGTAGTTTGTACATTTTCTACATAATAATAATTTCGTGGTAGATTTTGAGGGGCCTGCATATCAAGTACACAGTATTTACTTACACAACCTCTAGTGTACACAGTACGCAGTACGCACTAATGCACACACTAGTGCAGAGTGTTGTAATGAAACGCGGGATAGGAGATTACGTAATTCCTACAGTGCGTGTCAACAGCAGTCAAAACTTGGTGGTTACTAATGGTTACTAGTAGTTGCTAATGGTTACTAGTGGTTACTATTGGTTACTAGTTGTAACTAGTGGTTACTAGTTGTAATAAGACGCGGGAGAGGAGATTACGTAATTCCTACAGCGCGTGTCAACAGCAGTCAAAAGTTGGCGCTCAGCAGTATTACATCATACTAAAATATATGGTATTATCATGTGCAATGTGCACACATTACATATTACATCACATGTTAATATGGTATTATTACGGTGAATTAAAGGATAGTGATAACTTGTACTCTCAACGATTACCTCCTAAGTTAAACCGACTATAACATGGCCTGGTTAAGACGCGCTGAGTAGAACATTGATAGTGGTAGTGGGAGTAGAGAAGGAGTACGCTAGAGTAGTGGTAGTGGAACCTACTCCAGACTCCCTCTCCCAGGTAACCCATACAACCACCCAGCTAGGTATAGTAGAGTGGGAGTTAGGGAGTATGAAGCTATACAACCCAGTTGAAGAGAAAGAGAGATAGATAGAGAGAGAGAGAGAGAGAGAGAGAGAGAGAGAGAGAGAGAGAGAGAGAGAGAGAGAGAGAGAGAGAGAGAGAGAGAGAGAGAGAGAGAGATAGATGAAGTTGTATGGTAGTTGGTACTGGTAACTAACTACGTGTTATGGAACACTAAACTCGAACCTGTCAACTGCTGGTATGACCTAATCTGGGTTTAGCTGAAATGTACAACTCTCTACTTGACTGAGAAATTAGGATCAAGTCATCTTGTAGTTGGACTATACCTGTTGTAATCATGCATTTGAAAAACAGAGCAAAATCTACCTTTTCCAGCTAACCTAGTCCCGGAAGAACCAAAAACTGAATTTAGAGAATGTGTTTTGGTTAAAAATCAAGAAATAAACGGTGACTATTTATATTTTAGAGTCTGCGACTGCAGCCTGCAGGTGACGAAATCTACAGTTCTATTTCAGTTCAGCTGTACTGGTATCTAGGTGTCGTGTTATGGAATCAGCTACAAATCATGCTGTTTACAAGACAAGTAGACATAGATCACGACAATTACTATTGTGACTTGTCTTGACCTTGTCGTTAAATCATCAGACATAAAACACACTGTACTTCTTTACGTTGATAGCATGACTCAAACCGAGCGATTGTCTATAAATTCTACTGTATATTTTATACTTATGAAATTAAATAAAATGAAAGAAAGATCGTACGTTATTTAAAGAACTTAAATACAAAAGATAATCAAAGATTTTACAGATTTTCGACCTGAAAGTGAAAGTGAAAGTGAATGTTATAAATTACCCCAGTCGAATACACTTCTGACACTGTTAACTTCAGAGAGACTATTGAGTTTGTTGACGCACATGTAGGCTGCGGAGCGGGACAAAACGAAATTCCCAACAACATCGTCCAAATACGTTAACATCACCTGAAAATACGTTAACATCACCTTAGAATACGTTTTAACATCACCTAAAATACGTTAAACACTAAGTATAGAGTCGCCACAAAATTGTAAATACAAGCTAACGAGTTATTATTCAGATTAAAATAACCTTTATGTGATTCAGAATACAGAATATCATGTACACTAGAAAGTGTGAAAATAGCTACAGTACTAAGTGAACTTCACTCGTACCCCACTGTGTATTATGTTGTACCTGTACGAGATGTTTTAAGATGTCTTCCTTTTCAGTAACTTTCAGTTCGTGTACCCACTTTATAATAAACAAGAGGAACTCCTGCCTGTCTAGTAACCCATCCTGAAAGCGAAAGTGAAAGGAAAACACTTTATTATAAACGTGAGGAACAATATGATTATGAGTTAAATACTCACTTATGACACACTTTTTTAAATGGCAGGGGTTCGGTGCCAGTACATTTAAAAGTTTGTGGGTTAGGTGCCAGTACATTTAAAAGTGAGGGGGTTAGGTGCCAGTACATTTAAAAGTTTGGGGGTTAGCTGCCAGCACATTTAAAAGTTTGGGGGTTAGTTGCCAGTACATTTAAAAGTGAGGGGGTTAGCTGCCAGTACATTTAAAAGTTTGGGGGTTAGTTGCCAGTACATTTAAAAGTGAGGGGGTTAGTTGCCAGTACATTTAAAGGTTTGGGGGTTAGGTGCCAGTACATTTAAAAGTAAGGGGGTTAGTTGCCAGTACATTTAAAAGTGAGGGGGTAAGTTGCCAGTACCTGGTACATGCAGTGACAGAGTCTGAGTGTGTAGTTCCACCTGTTTTTAGCAGAGTTGGCCTCCTGTACCGCCTTGTTACCTGTGTTCACTGTGCTGATCTTACCGTATTCTACCTGAGAGACACATATTGTCAAAACGTCTGATCAGACATCATGATATCATGTACTAATGAGAGTTAAGTACACAGTTATGATAAAACATGTTTCAATAACCCCTTCGTGTTTTCCTAAGAAAAGGATTAATTACATTAAATAGTGTTTAGGTTGTTATATGTTTAAGTGTAGTTTTGTTAAGAGTTGGCTATCGAGCATTCTCGTCTGCTGCAATACTGAATAGTGGGATGAGGCAGGCACCCCCCCCTGTGGATGAGGTTCTGCCAACCATTCATTGGAACAATCATACAATAAGATATCAGAACTGAATGCAGATCACTAATCATGCAATATCTCTCACATTGTGCTCTGCGAACTTGGCCAGGTTGTCTTTCAGGTACTCCGAAATACACTTAGTCCACTCCAGAGCCACACAGGTGTTCCTCTTCTTGCTGATACTACTGACGTACACTGCTGTTATCTTCATGAACCATATAGCTCTCATTACAGGGACCTGGGGTAGTCGGGGTAACAACACGTGATCAGTTACAGTAACAACACGTGATCAGTTACAGTAACAACACGTGATCAGTTACAGTAACAACACGTGATCAGTTACAGTAACAACACGTGATCAGTTACAGTAACAACACGTGATCAGTTACAGTAACAACACGTGATCAGTTACAGTAACAACACGTGATCAGTTACAGTAACAACACGTGATCAGTTACAGTAACAACACGTGATCAGTTACAGTAACAACACGTGATCAGTTACAGTAACAACACGTGATCAGTTACAGTAACAACACATGATCAGTTACAGTAACAACACGTGATCAGTTACAGTAACAACACGTGATCAGTTACAGTAACAACACGTGATCAGTTACAGTAACAACACGTGATCAGTTACAGTAACAACACGTGATCAGTTACAGTAACAACACGTGATCAGTTACAGTAACAACACGTGATCAGTTACAGTAACAACACGTGATCAGTTACAGTAACAACACGTGATCAGTTACAGTAACAACACGTGATCAGTTACAGTAACAACACGTGATCAGTTACAGTAACAACACGTGATCAGTTACAGTAACAACACGTGATCAGTTACAGTAACAACACGTGATCAGTTACAGTAACAACACGTGATCAGTTACAGTAACAACACGTGATCAGTTACAGTAACAACACGTGATCAGTTACAGTAACAACACGTGATCAGTTACAGTAACAACACGTGATCAGTTACAGTAACAACACGTGATCAGTTACAGTAACAACACGTGATCAGTTACAGTAACAACACGTGATCAGTTACAGTAACAACACGTGATCAGTTACAGTAACAACACGTGATCAGTTACAGTACAACACGTGATCAGTTACAGTAACAACACGTGATCAGTTACAGTAACAACACGTGATCAGTTACAGTAACAACACGTGATCAGTTACAGTAACAACACGTGATCAGTTACAGTAACAACACGTGATCAGTTACAGTAACAACACGTGATCAGTTACAGTAACAACACGTGATCAGTTACAGTAACAACACGTGATCAGTTACAGTAACAACACGTGATCAGTTACAGTAACAACACGTGATCAGTTACAGTAACAACACGTGATCAGTTACAGTAACAACACGTGATCAGTTACAGTAACAACACGTGATCAGTTACAGTAACAACACGTGATCAGTTACAGTAACAACACGTGATCAGTTACAGTACAACACGTGATCAGTTACAGTAACAACACGTGATCAGTTACAGTAACAACACGTGATCAGTTACAGTAACAACACGTGATCAGTTACAGTAACAACACGTGATCAGTTACAGTACAACACGTGATCAGTTACAGTAACAACACGTGATCAGTTACAGTAACAACACGTGATCAGTTACAGTAACAACACGTGATCAGTTACAGTAACAACACGTGATCAGTTACAGTAACAACACGTGATCAGTTACAGTAACAACACGTGATCAGTTACAGTAACAACACGTGATCAGTTACAGTAACAACACGTGATCAGTTACAGTAACAACACGTGATCAGTTACAGTAACAACACGTGATCAGTTACAGTAACAACACGTGATCAGTTTCAGTAACAACACGTGATCAGTTACAGTAACTGAGTTTAGTAATTTACAGTAACTTCTTCTACTAGTACTAACTAAGTTTAGTAATTTAAGAGTGGTACTAAGAATTGAAAAAGTTTCCTTGTGTTTGAAATGGTACTAAGTATTGAAATTGTTTCCTTGTGTTTGAAATGGTACTAAGTATATACCTGATACTCGGCCATATGGTCTAGAATCTCCTCCTTCTTCTGAAAAGAAGGAATCCTGCTCTTCACCAGGGAGGATAGTGACTTGCTGGACGAACTCAGATCACCAAAAAACTTCTTGATAGTTTGTCTGTTGGATCTGGCAGGAGACTAACATTATTCTAATGTTGGAGAAAGTACCGAACGCTGATAACAAGGTGGTTAAGACGTAGGTAACTCCCTCATTTGATCGCACAAATATAACGACTTAACTTAGCAGCACAATATAACGACTAAACGTTCTGACTACTTACCTGGGATTAACGGACCAGAATTGGTCCCTCTGAATCGTCTGTATCTTCCTAGTCCCATTATCATTAACAGTGTTGTTATTATGTTTCTGAGCGGCTAGTTTCTCTGAAGACAGCTGTATACTCTGTTGGAGCGTGCTCAGGCCCTTCGCTTTGATTCTCTCTCGAGCTGAGCCACATTCGTTCTGAGTTACTGGTGGATTCGAGAAACCCTGAAATAAATTCAGGCTATCAGAAATTTTATATGAATCATAAGAAAACAGCATCGGATAAGTCCGATTAATGGAACATTAGTGCACAGAAAAGCCTAGAGGCTTTACTAGCCCCCCTCCTCCAGTGAATATTTGGTCTATAATCACCTTTTTGAGACTAAGATCGTTGAGTTTGTCCTCTCTTTGATCCTTGACTTGAGGGTAGACATCAGGAGGTCCTAGTTTAGTTCTCTTGTTGAGGTTCCTGGCTTGCAGAATATCCGCCTCGCTTGCCATTTCACCTCACCATAATCCTGAAACCATCTCGATCATAGCTACTAAAACCATTACTTGTAATTCAACTTAGAAATTTTCAATTTGAGCGATTTTTATTGTGGTGTTTTAAATCTTTGATTTCGCACTTGGGCATTTCAAGTCATTTTCGCACATGGGCATTTCAAATTGTTTTTCAGTCAGTCAGTAATACTAAACCTTAATTTGAGCAGTAGTTAGTAAAATTAAGCTGAAATACATTTTATACTTTAATTTCTGGCGGATGCACTAACAAAGGCTAACACAATTTGTACGATAGAAAGTCTTTAATAATTTACATTCATAATATCTTGGACTGACAAATTATTTACAAAGCAACTGACTGTTAATCGACAATCAAGACAGTTTCTTTTTAGCTGAAATTCAAAAATTATCAAAAATAGCAGGGTAATTAAAAAGGTCGTCAATTACAACATTTTCACAGAACCCCAAATTAAAAGTGTCAGATTCTATTACAATTAAGATACATAAAGGAACCCCATTATTTAAATGCTCAGTTACTCAGAATACAGTCAACACAGCAAAGATCCCGTACATAAGGGCGCACGGGTACGCCACTAGAGGCTGCTGGTCGTACATAGCCAGCACGGACACAAACAGCTTAGAAGACGCAAACGCGGCCCAGGAAACGGTAAGAATTGAGAGTATAACACCGAACAGTCCCTTGAGACTGAGGAGTGCAGAGATAGCAGCAAGTGCGCACATCGGCAGCATGCAGTACCCCAGCACTGACACAGTGATGCTAGCTGACACTCCGTTCACACTCATGAGGTTAAGGAGAGTGTACATTGAGGCAGCTCCTATCAGTGCCACTCCGTATATAGCTCCGAAGTGGATCTTCCCCGAGAGGAGAAGTAGACTGCCGAACCCTAAACAGAACAGAACAGGCCCGGAGAGGTCAGGGTCGTCCATGAGGGTGGTGGCAGCAGGTTTGCTGGGGTTCAACACGGTCATGGTGGTCTGGTAGATCTGCTGCAGGTCTATACCCAGTTCCTCCATAAGAGGGGGCTCCTCGTCGAATGTGTCTGAAGTGGTCTGACTTGGCACAGCGCCCATAGACCCCATGTTAGTGTTGGGATCGTAGAAGCTAGCCCCGCTGTTGTAGAAGCCCCCCTCCCCAGCAGTGTACTGTTGTTGAGGTGGGGTGGGGGCGGGGTTGTTATAGTTACTGTAGGGGTCCTGAGCGGGGGGAGGCGAGTAGAACCCCTGCTGGTTGTCCTGGGGTTGAGAGGTGTTGTTCTGGTTGTACTGAGGTTGTGCGTACTGCTGCTGCGGTTGCTGCGGTTGTTGCGGTTGTGCGTACTGCTGCTGCGGAGTGGTTGGGTACTGCTGCTGCGGTGTGGTTGTGTAGGCCTGGTCCGGAGTCCAGCCTTGTTGGGCCCACTGATCCTGCTCACTTCCTACATTGTAACCACTGGAGTAGAAGTCCTGTGACATTGTGACACCTACCGCTGCAAGAGTTAGTATTAACATACTGAATATACATAATGATTGATAAAATGTTAATAGCATTGCCATTATTATTCATTATCCTTTTTATGAGTATTAGGTGGCTGGGGTAACTTAAATAAATTCACAATTTGTACGTGACATACTGACATTCCTCTAATCGGCCAGTAAGGAACAGGTACTTGCCTCCTGTACAAGTCACAAACAAGAGGTGATCTAATGCTGCGGCAACCTGCTGACGTCACTATATCTATTTTTAGCAGTGCCATTAGTGACACTAATTAGTGACAGCGTCTGAAGCTCAGAATGCTACAATCCGGTCAAATGGTTGCTTCCCCGCACTGCAGAATTACTGATAAGTTTTATATGTACCTTATGAGTGGAGATAAACGCAAATATCGTAATATTAACACGGTACATTATCTGCCGGTGTATAATTTAAAGAGTATAATTGGTCTGGTGGCATTTTCCTTCTCCAAACATTTACAGGGGGGGGTGTCATGTCCGTCTATGTCCGCCTATGTCCTGTCCTTTTTGGATTCTATGAGACAACGGACGTGTTTTTTGGGACATTGGCGGACACGGACGGACATTGGCGGACTCGGACGGACATTGGCGGACTCGGACGGACATTGGCGGACCCGGACGGACATTGGCGGACTTGGATGGACATTGGTGGACATTAGCGGACATTGGTGGACATTACTGAAGAGTACTGAAGAGTACTGAGGAGGATGGCTGAGAAGGATGGCTGAGGAGGATGGCTGAGGAGGATGACTGAGGAGGATGACTGAGGAGGATGGCTGAGGAGGATGACTGAGGAGGATGACTGAGAGGGAGGAGAAGGATCAGGAAGACCCAGGAGGAGGAGGAGGAGGAGGACCCAGAAGGAGGACCTAGGAGGAGGAGGAGGAGAACTGAGGAGGATGACTGAGGAGAAGGAGGACTCAGGAGGAGGACTGAGGAGAACTGAGAAGGAGGAGGACTGAGGAGAATGGCTGAGGAGGATGGCTGAGGAGGATGACTGAGAGGGAGGAGGAGGAGGAAGAGGAGGAAGAGGACTGAGGAGGAGGAGGAGAAGGACTGAGGAGGAGAAGGAGGACCCAGGAGGAGGAGGACCCAGGAGGAGGAGGACCCAGGAGGAGGACCCAGGAAAAGGCCCCAGGAGGAGGAGGAGGACTAGGGAGGAGGAGAACTGTTGAGGACTGATGAGGAGGACTGAGGACGAGGAGGAGGAGTAGGAGGAGGACTGACGAGGGGAGGAGGAAGAGGACTGGGGAGGATCAGGAAGACCCAGGAGGACCCAGGAGGAGAAGGAGGAGGAGGACCCAGGAGGAGGAGGAGGACTGAGGAGGACTGAGGAGGAGGACTGACGATGACTGAGAATGAGGAGGACTGAGGAGTACTGAGGAGGATGACTGAGGAGGATGGCTGGGGAGGATGGCTGAGGAGGATGACTGAGGAGGATGACTGAGAGGGAGGAGGAGGAGGACTCAGAAGGAAGAGGAGGAGGACTCAGGAGGAAGAGGAGGAGGACTCAGGAGGAGGACTCAGGAGGAGGACTGAGGGAAACTGAGAAGGAGGAGGACTGAGGAGGATGGCTGAGGAGGATGGCTGAGGAGGATGACTGAGAGGGAGGAGGAGGAGGAAGAGGAGGAAGAGGACTGAGGAGGAGGAGGAGAAGGACTGAGGAGGAGAAGGAGGACCCAGGAGGAGGAGGACCCAGGAGGAGGAGGACCCAGGAGGAGGACCCAGGAAAAGGCCCCAGGAGGAGGACTGGGGAGGAGGAGAACTGTTGAGGACTGATGAGGAGGACTGAGGACGAGGAGGAGGAGGACTGAGGAGGGGAGGAGGAAGAGGACTGGGGAGGATCAGGAAGACCCAGGAGGACCCAGGAGGAGGAGGAGGAGGAGGACCCAGGAGGAGGAGGAGGACTGAGGAGGACTGAGGAGGAGGACTGACGATGACTGAGAAGGAGGAGGACTGAGGAGTACTGAGGAGGATGACTGAGGAGGATGGCTGGGGAGGATGGCTGAGGAGGATGACTGAGGAGGATGACTGAGAGGGAGGAGGAGGAGGACTCAGGAGGAGGACTCAGAAGGAAGAGGAGGAGGACTCAGGAGGAGGACTCATGAGGAGGACTTAGGAGAAATGAGAAGGAGGACTGAGGAGAACTGAGGAGGAGGAGGAGGAGGAGGACTGAATAGGAGGAGGAGAAGGAGACGGACTGGGAGAGGACTGGGGAGGAGGAGGACTGATGAGAAGGATGAGGAGGAGGACCCAGGAGGCTGGAGGAGGAGGACTGAGGACCGAGGAGGAAGAGGAGGAGGATGAAGAGGAGGAGGAGGACCCAGGAGGAGGAGGACTGAGGAGGAGGACTGAGGAGGACTGAGGAGGATGGCTGAGGAGGATGACTGAGAGGAAAGAGGAGGAGGAGGAGGATGAGGACTTAGGAGGAGGAGGAGGAGGAGGAGGACTGAATAGGAGGAGGAGGGGGACTGGGGGAGGACTGAGGAGGAGGATGGAGGACTGAGGAGAAGGATGAGGAGGAGGACTGAGGAGGACTGAGGACTGAGGAGGAAGAGGAGGAGGATGAGGAGGAGGAGGAGGACCCAGGAGGACCCAGGAGGAGGACTCAGGAGGAGGACTGGGGAGGAGGAGGACTGTTGAGGACTGATGAGGAGGACTGAGGACGAGGAGGAGGAGTAGGAGGAGGACTGAGGAGGGGAGGAGGAAGAGGACTGAGGAAGATCAGGAAGACCCAGGGGGAAGAGGAGGAAGAGTAGGAGGAGGAAGCATCTAAATGTTATTTCCATTTTTGTCCGTTTTTGTCCATTTTTGTCTGTTTTTGTCCGCTCTATTTTTTGTCCGTTTTGAAAATATAGGGTACCGAACGGACAAAAACCATGATCCCCTATAACAGCAAAAATTGAACATTTTATTTAGCAATTTAGGTGTCCATTAATGTCCGCCTATGTCCGCCTATGTCCGCCTATGTCCGCCTATGTCCGTCTATGTCCGCCTATGTCCGTCTATGTCCGCCTATGTCCGCCTATGTCCGCCTATGTCCTGTCCTTTTTGGATTCTATGAGACAAGCGGACATAGACGGACGTGACACCCCCCCCCTTTACAGTATCATTACTATTAGACAGCAGGTAATTGCAATGCTCGCACTTGTGCGTGTCTTTATAAATACCATCGCAAATACACGTGTAAAGGCGCACGTGCAATTGTAATGTGTAAAGGCGCACGTGCAATTGTAATGAGCCATTTGAAAGATTTCAATTAAAACCGTCAATGCAAGTGTTATGCGAGGGTTGGAAAATGTGGATTGTGTAACTGTTCTACTGTTCGGTTATTTTGGGATACTTCGTCACAACTATGATTACCACGCCATGACCGCTGTAAACTTCTAGTTCCATTTTCAAGGTATGTTGATATAAATTATATGCTTCAATATTATTAGTGTGGTGTGTGGTTTTTTAAAAATTTGATCTTACTAATATAGCTACTGTTTAAAATATTTCATATTATATCCCCAGTCAATCGTTTAATGTTTTTTTGGGTATGAAGAGAATAAAATCCGAATTTTTCTAAAGGAATCTTAAATTCAAAAACATGGTTATATATAATTAAACTACAGTGGAATTTTAATTAATGCTATCATCAAGCACATTACAAATTTGTGATTCTAATGAGACTATATAATAACCCTTGTAGTACTTGCTTTTCTTTTAAAAACCATAATCTCTCTTAATTAGAACCGTATCATTAGCGATTAAGTGACAATTGATGAATTCTTATAAATAGGCTGATGAAATCTTAAACTTTAAATTCAAACAAACCTTCATCTTATGATCACAATATATTTTCCTGTCCAAAGTCAAAACTTGTACACTATTTTTAGCGTTTCTTCGATCAATTAAATAATTTGGAGTAGTCCAGTGTTTCAAAGTGACCAATTAAATTAATTGGCACCCTGCCAGGCTCTACTTGTCACATTCTCCATTCTTAAGAAAGGACAGTTAAATTTTAACTCTTTATAATTTCTAATAAATTTCTTTGCTAGTAGACTCTTAGAATATAGTATAAGGATAGCTTTCATAACCTTGTAAAATGTACAAACACTTAATAAAGTATTATTATTAAAGCAAAAGAATATGATATAAACATTGAGTAACACGTGAAAGGTATGTGTGAAGCGAACCTCGCTTTCAAACAACAGATTTTGGCAGATCACTGTAGATATTATAAATTAGCCTCTCAAAAAGATATGGTCCACCGTTAAACATTGTTACCATGGCAACCGCACAAATTCAATAGTCCACACTTACAAACACATCATGCAAAAGATCTAACAAAAATTTCAAAACTTACTAAGCTACTGTTTTTCATAGACGTCTCAGTTATATTAATAATGCATTCAAAGCAACTAAGCTACACCGAAAACTCTATTATATATTTAAATTTAATACTGTATGTTATATATCACCAATAGACCTCGAAATTCAACATTATAATATTAAATAAATCATTATATTATACCGCGATTTACTCTTGGCTTGCCAATTTCGCTTTTGTCTAACAAATTGATAAACTATGAATGGCTATTTTGAGCGGAAATCATTACTAGGCTACTGTTCGTGGCTGTTGCACCGTTTTACCGTTTTAGAGAGACATTGGGTTTGTTATTGACCCCTGGCCAAAATGGTTCCCAACATATCATTTTTAACTGAAGGTTATAGCAGCATATATTTGAAAATTGGAGTTCATATTATGATATTTTGTAGAATTATAATTTGCACATTTCAGAAAAGTCCTTTATAATCTGCAGAATCTAAGAAGGTACACCATAATACCGAGAATCCAGATACAACCAGATATATATAATGATATCTTATACTCGCCCAGTTATCTGTACATACCAGAATAAAGTTAAGGACTGTAAACAAATCACATTTTGTGGCACAAAATACTGTATAAATGTGATGTTATCCATAAATATGCCGACAACAATAAGCTTGTGGGTAAAAGTACCATTGCTTCGACAAGATCTCCAAAAAATGATGAAATTGCTTAATAAATGATGATATCAAATTTTACAAACAATTTTGTAGTTGAGGTATCAAATAAAGTAAAATTTGTAAAAATTCTAATATTCATTGTGATGAGCTAGATCTACTAAGTCTCCCGGACTACCGTGCGTAGGTTCCCGGACGCGGTTCACATTTAGTTTCAGTTCAAAGTAAAGCACATTTCCCTTTGTCTTTCTTTCTTGGCTGTCTTGGGATGAGAACTGCTCTTATAGCTTCGTCAAACACGCTCTTCAGTCCTGTAAATGATAGTGTCAATAAAATATCAGTTTTAGGGTTAATGTTTCATTACATTTTCTGATGTAGTCAATAAAGGTCGAGTACACATTGTTTCAAAGTTCAATTATTATTATTATTATAAAACAGGATCTTACCGACAAAAATGATTCTTAAAAATACCTTAATGCGGTAAACTGTACCCTTGAAAAAGATTTTCCCAACATCTGTTGCATGCAGCTATATCTTTAATTTCGTTCAATTCATACAAGTTGTCCATTTGCAAACTTCTACTATTTAAATCACTTCTTAAAACCGATAACAAGTTCATTCTAGGTCTCCCCAATCTTCCAATGAATAAATTATCTGATTCAATAGCAAATGAGAGAGCCGTTTGGGCTGGGGTGTTCTCCATACTCCTGAGAATGTGTCCAAACATTTTCCACCGCTGGTGTTCAATACGCTTGGATAACTTTTCAACTTTGCACCTTTCATACAATGCTTTGTTGCTTATCATACCTTTAGGCCATTTGATGTTTAAAATGGACCTGAGGTGTCTACGATGGAGTGTGTCCATTTTCTCCATGGTTGCTTTCTTAGGACTCCAACTATTTGAGTTGTAAATCAATACAGATACAACTTGAGCATCGTATAACCTCAGCTTTCTTTCAAGGGATATTTTCTTACCAGACAGCCAAACTTTTTCAAAGTTCTTAAAAGCAATCTCAGCTAGGATTCTTCTTCTTTGAATGTCCTTCTCAGTACACAGTAAGGAACCTAGTGACTTGTTACTTCTCCATGGTTCGTTATTAGCTAATGGCTGACCGTTTGTATCTTTATCAGATTTTGTCGCTAGGTAGAAGGTACTGAATTCAGTTTTACTTTCATTTACTTGGAGGTTCCAGTCTTTGAGAATCTCCTTCACTGTAGGAAGGAAAATTCTCAGTTTCTCGATGTCCTCGTCAGCAAAGTCACAATCGTCTGAATATTCCCACTCAGTTGGAAAACCTAGTTCTGATACTGGTGGGTTTGGTCTCCCAGATACAGCTCTGAGGTGGTGTAAGGCTGCTGCAAGAATAAGTGTGAATAGCTTTCCAGATAAACTGTCACCTTGAAAGGCTCCGAGTAAACTTTCAAACTCTTCCGACAGTGAGGAGTTAACACGAACTCTAAGGAGAGTATTCGATAGAAGGTATTGAACTAAACGAATGTCGTCCTCCGAACAACCAGCATCTTTCAAAACATTGATGATAGTGTCCCTTTTCACGGTATCAAAAGCTCTACTCATATCAATACCCATTTTGCTAAATGTCCATTTCTTCCTCATTACAACAGATATGAGCATTCTCTGAGCCCACACAATGTCAGAGCAGCTCCTACCTCTCTTGTAAGCACTCTGCCATGGCATGGTGTAGTTGTCAATTCTACTCTCAACCCGTTTTAAGGCAATTTGAGTGAGCATCTTCCTCGATCCGTTTAACAGTGTAAGTGGTCTAAGGCTTGTGAGGGGACCCTTAGGTTTACCGGGCTTCTGTAGAGGAGTCACAATACCTTGTCCTATCGAACTTATGTATTTGTTCCCACTAAATGACTCGTTAATTGCCTCAGCATACTTCTCAAAAGTGATTGGATGGGCGTACTTTATCAGCTCATTCTGGAGATTATCTGGACCACTGGCACGGTTTGATTTGAGTTTACTTGCAGCAAGTTTAACTTCAACTGGTGTGATGGGGTTATCAAGTGGTTTTGGATCACAGGTAAAAGGTTGCAGGCCAGCTTCAACTCCTTCTGTTAGTTGTTTTTCGAAGAAAGATTTCGCTGTGTTTGCTTTCCCTAAATCAGTACCAATAGGTACCAATATCAGTATCAAAGTTCAATAATAAGAAAAAAGATGTGTTTATTCAGAAGATCACATGATGAGGCAACAGTAAGTTAGTTACAAAGTATAACATAGTGCACTATGTAGTTACCTTTCTGGGTGAGGGCTGAGCATTCCAAATATCTTACAGCACGGATGTCTTTAGCCATATTTAAACCCTGAAATATTAACTAATAAACTTGTTGATTTTAGGACGTTGACATAGAAACAACAATTGAATAAATGTTATGTATCGTAGATGATAACACTTTGCATTGTAGATAATAGATAAAACATTCTTTATACAATTTACATGATAAGAGTGACATTACAATAATACCTGGGTGTAAGTAATAGGACTTAATCTTTTCTGTTTTAATCCCTCAATGGTGTCCCTGTCGTCACGGAGATCCAGTTTAGTTCCCACCAGAATAATGGGAGCATTTGGGCAGTGGTGAGTAACCTGAACACATTGCATTAACAGTGACTAGAAACCAGATTGAAGGCAGCCAGAAATTTAAGGAATTAAAAATTAAAGTATAAAAATATCCTCAACTTTAAGCATCAGTATTATTTTTAAAGTTTTAAATGATTAAAGACACTTCAATTCAAAATTCAAAACAAATTCTAACCTCAGGATACCACTTTGCCTTGACGTTCTCATAAGAAGCTGGAGAGATGACTGAGAAACAGATCAAGAAAACGTCAGTTTGTGGGTAAGACAAAGGTCTCAACCTGTCATAGTCCTCCTGGCCCGCCGTATCCCACAGACCTAGGTTGATAGGGCGCCCATCCACCATGACATTGGCACTGTAGTTGTCGAACACAGTTGGGATGTACTCTCCAGGAAAAGCATTGGTCGTGTAAGAGATCAAGAGGCAAGTTTTACCGACAGCGCCATCACCCACCACTACACACTTGATTGCTTGCATTGCTAAGGTTGAGTTGATGTTAAGACAACATTCCATATAAAGGTGAAGTTCTATTTAAATTGATAACAATCACGTTGTTGCCAAATGACAGTACACTGAAATCCTGCAATTGCACACTGCAATGTACATTTAAACCTAATGATACTGTAGTACACTGAGAGCTGTTCATTCAAGCAAAGATAAAAGCCTTAACACCAATTTTCTGTACAAGAATAGGGTGAAAAAAGTCATCAATCATATCCAATCACAATCCAGGAATGCCATTATTCCTTTACTTGGCAATCCAGTTTTTTCACTCATCGCATTATGTACCAGATGGATTCTGCACCTGCTCAGACGATAGGAGATGTACCATGCAGTCTCTGCTGAATTCGGCAGAAGATTGGCAATGTCAATATGCAGGAATGTGAGAAGACACAATTCTGCTGTATTGCTCCGACAATTGCAGTGCCCCCAAGTCGAGTTGCCAATCAAACAGCCAGCTGAAAGTATACAAAGACACTGGATCCTTTTGTATAGTTCAAACGAATCTCTCTTTTTTTAGGAAAAAGTATTCAAATAACATACACATTATATATAATGATATACACATAATATACACAATGACCATGACCATAGATCAAACTTTTAAAAAGTCATTATCAATTATATAAAATAAAGGTCATTCAAACAATATTATACATACAATTAAATCAAGTGACGCAATCGGCAGAGCACAATACATAGGTAACAGAAATGGTACATTGCTATCAATAAAACTTTAAACAATCAAATATATTATAAAATTATTCAAACAATATACACATAATATAGCAATGACCCTATATAAAATCAACCCTTTAAGAATTCAAAAAATTCCCTTAACAATCAAAAATTACCCTTGGCCAATCAAATATATACAAATAAATTTTCAAAACACATCATCTACTCCATCATCGGGACAAGGATGAGGTTGTACGAGACTTCTGATAGAAGGGTCTCATGTTTGATGTCAATCTTCTTTCCTCTGTACCGACGAAGAGCGAGGATTCAAGGATGCAAGGATACAAGGATACAAAAGCTATTATTATTTTATTGAGTTCACAATAGTTATAATTCTGAAACAATTTAAAGATACACAATTCTAGTTATTTACAAATGTGTAGAGATAAAATAAAAATGTTTTGTCATACTATTTTTCTTTGAATAGATCGAATTTGTATTGTAGAGTTTGATCTTATTTTGAGGTCCTATAGCATGCAATATAGACAACGCAAAGCTTTGTTTAACGGGTGATACTCGTAAAATAGTTGTTCCAAATATAAAACCGTCGGGCGTCGGTGATTCCAACTCGGCGAGAGTTTTTAGTAAAACAAATTTTTAGTAAAACAAATTTTATTTTATACCCACAATCAATTCATATTTAGTTCAAATATTTAAAGTCAAAATAACCATTTCACATAAGTGGTTATATTATAATAAAATAATTTGTGATAAATTAATAAATTAATTTACACTCAAAAATGAACAAAATATACACAATTTTTACCTAGTGCAACACTGGTTCAGCGCGCGGCTGATCGAAAAAGTTTGATTTGATTTACTAACTACAGTGTACAGCGTACATGAAAAAATTACTTACTGAATCTTTTAATACTAGACACATTTTAATTCAGATGTTGTTCAATGAGTTAGCCACAAAAATTTTCAAATTATGTAGGAGGGTAAAGGACACAATTGCTAGTAGTGCTTCTTTGTGCCCGTTGACTACAATGAACATTTTGCGGAGTTTCTCCAAACGGCTTTTATCGGAGTGCGTGTTATTTACTTGGTTATGCACAAGCCAGGCCAACATTTTGTTTTTGTGTCAGCCGTGCTACCAGGTTGCAGAGTATTATAAACACTAAACAATTATACACTATACAAATTTGCTAATACAATATCATGCAGAGTCCGATCTAGCTGCAAACGTCAGACACCACAGTTCAGCCGCCAAGTACCGTTTAAGTGAACACCGAAACACGAGGTTTAGGTGTCATTTTGTAAATCACTTTATGGATGGATAATTCAGTAATTGTTGAAGAAAATTACAGTCACTGCCACCTATAGCGTTATGTCATGGGTCTGATTAACGGCCAAGAATAAACGTACGTGCGCGCTTAAGAAACCCGCGCAAATGTTGAGGTAGGGAGTAGCTGCGGCGCGCTTTTAACATATATTACGTATAGCGCCGTACGGAAACGGCAATATTTAAGTAATTAAGTATTTGTTTACATAAATTCCACGTTTTTATCAATAATCTAGCATGGTCCAAAACTGTTAAAGTTGTCATTATGCCACTCATTATCGAACCTGCTTTGGGCATCTAGAAGAGATCGGTTTAGCCTTGATTTGATTGAGTTACAGGATGTGTTCACAAAGTCAGGTTTATTCTGTGGATTGGAGTCCTTGAATTGATTCCAAAGCCAAGAAGATTTATAAATAAAGTTATGGCTTGGCTTTGGTGGTATTAGACGGTCATCCCTCAGTTCAGACATGTTAAGTAAAGAGTAGAGAGATATGGGTACCCTATATTTCACTATTTTAAAAAGTTCAGTTATAGTACGAAGTTTGTAAAGATTATGAACAGTAAGGAGTTTATGACTGTTAAATAATGGTTTGGTTGATTCCTTGGAATAGAATTCAGCTCCTAGTTTTTGACAACATAAGGGTCTAACAAGTTTATTATGAACTACCGATTTAGAGCGGACACACTTTGCACATGGTTTAATACGTGGATTAACAGAGTTATTAACATTAGACTCATATTTACCCAGTATTTTACATTGAATAGGTCTAGAACGAGCACATGTTTTGAATTTGTTTTGGTATGAGTTTGCATCTCCAAAAATTATTCTAATACATCTCTTCTGTGTTAAGAATACAGGGTTGATAACTTGGTTAGAGACACCACCCCATACTGAGATGGCGAACGTAAGGTGTGATTCAAATAGTGTGTGGTATATCTGCTTGTGCAGTTTTATAGGTAGACAGTTTTTTATGCGGTAAATACGTCCACAAGCACTTCTTAGTTTCTTATTTAGTGATTCGATGTGAGGTTTCCAGTTCAGTTTATCATCAATCAGCACACCTAGAAACTTAGTTGTTTTAACACGTATTATTATGGAGCCGTCTATGGAGAGATTTAAATCATCGGGTGTACTGCATGTAGACGATTCATTTACACGTTTGTTTGGGGAGAAATACATATAACAGCTCTTCTTAGCGTTAATATGTAGTAGATTACATTTCATGTATCTAGAAATAGACGAAAGAATATCGTTAGCTACATTATAAACGTCTTTTTTCGAGTCTGCAGAAACGAATAGGTTAGTGTCGTCAGCAAATAAGATAAACTTGCCTTTATTAGATACGTTGCATAGGTCATTTATATACAGGAGGAATAGTAAGGGACCAAGAACAGAGCCTTGGGGAACTCCCCACTCAACAGGAAGTTTATCGGAGTTTTCATTTAAGACGTGAACATATTGGCTCCGGTTTGACAGGTAACTTTTTATCAAATTCAGTGCGTTGCCCCTAATTCCGTAATTATTTAATTTGAATAAAAGCTTCTCGTGAGATATCGTGTCGAAAGCCTTACTTAAATCAATGAAAATGCCAAGAACGTGTTTCCTGTCTTTTAAGTGTGATTCGATATGGCTAACAGATAAGTTCAGTGCGTGGCTTGTTGAGTGACCCTTTCTAAATCCAAATTGGTTCTCATAAATGATTCTTTTAGCAATTAGGAAGCTGTACATACGTTTATAAATAAGTTTCTCTAAAATTTTTCCAAATACTGGTAAGGTTGATATTGGCCTATAGTTTTCAAATAGTTCCTGATTATCTTTTTTATAGATGGGACTTATCTTTCCTAATTTAAGTTCATCTGGGAATATCCCCTGTTGCATGCAATGGTTAAAGTGCTTGGCTAAAAAGGGAGATATTATTCTAGCAGACTTTTTTATAACGTGAATTGGAATGTCACTAGATTTACCATTTGTGAACTCATTAATAATATCTATAATTTCATACTGTGTACAATCACTTAGATATATACTTGACTCACAGGTTTTAGGTAAGAAGTTTGAGAATGAGGGAATTGCATCCAAGGTTATATAATCTTCAGAATAATTTTCATTTAGTTTGGATGCAATCGACTGAAAATATTTATTGAATTCATTAGCAATCATCCTACGATTTATTATTTTTTGATCGTTAAGGATAAAACATGGCTTTATTTCACGCCTGGATTTTCTAGGTTTTATATAAACCTACAAACTTTCTAGAATTTAGAAAAAGAGTAAATCACTTATTAAAAAATTGCCAAAAGTTTTTACAATTTTTTGGACACTTCTGACTTTTGGAGGTCAATTATGCTTGTAAAAATTTGGTCGGTAAAAAACTTCTCTATCGTTAATATATAATGGACTACTGATTAGCCCGGTGCGCGCTTCTTTGTAGCATTTGTGATATTGGATCTGCCTCGAGCTACATTTCGAAAATGGAAAAGAACACTTCGAGAAAAAAGCGGTGCGCGCTACTTCGTAGAAATATATGCAAGTAACATCCGTCAATTAAATGAAAATAATTATTTAATTAATGAAGTTATTCTGAAAGAAGATTTAAATTTATGCTTTTGAATAAACAAATTATTACTGGTATGGGCGCGCGCCGCGCGGCACTCAGCCTGTCATTCCGCCGAATCTTTATTTTACGTTTATACAAATTTTAGCCTGGGTCCCCAGCTGTAAAATATAAATTGATTAAAGGTTTAGTTGTTAAAGATTAAAAAATTGTACTTTCGGTTGTGAAAAATGTTGTTAGGAAAAGGGGGGGATAAAAAGTGGTAGTGTAGTTGGTAGTAAAATATCAGATTTAGATATAATTTAGAGCCAACAAATTGAATTTGCTATTTTTATTACTTAGAGGGTTTTTTATAAAATTTATTAAGACTTTTTATATTGAGTTTTTTATTACCTGGGGACCTCAGGCTATCATGTTCATAAACAAATGAATAGAGATTTGGCGGAATGACAGGCTGAGCGCGGCCTAGTAAGTTTTTTATAGATATAACATTGATAAAGGGACTTTTTTGTCACTACAGCTTTATCATTTTAAGACATGAATCGAGCGCTAACATTAAAACTGTCAAAATTTATTTCCAATGTTGTCTTTATAGAGTTTGACATTTACTGATCATTAATTGAAATTGTTGATAAGACCGAATTCAGAAAATTGTTTTCAATTGTGTGATCCAGTTGCGGCGCACGAAAGTTTGGGTAGGAGAGCATCCAAAGGGGGTTTAAAACAAAAAAGGAGGACCCTCAACCAATGAAGCTGAGACACCTCACAGCGAGTAGACTAAAGTGGCTCTTGCTTGTGTAAGGTGTATCAACTACCCACCGAAGCGGTGGATTGGGAGTCCCCTATGGGATCATTCCGTCTGTCAAATTTACACAATATAAAAGCTACAATAAATTATTTATAAAATTTACATAAACAAATTCAAAATTTAGGAGACCTCATAGCTCGTCTTCTGAGGGATGATAACCTGTCTGATTGATGAGGTCGGTACCCATTCATACAGCTGGAAATCTTCAATTTTACAACACTGGTAGAGCAGCATATACGTGGCGATCTTATTGAACCTTCCAAGGTTACAACTTACAAGCGGTTTGGAAGATCATGGAGCAGGTATCTTTGGAATGAGCAGAATAGATGTTGTTTGAGTGGTACTCATATTTATAATCTCCACAGTTCTTTTCTTCTGGAGGGAGTTAGACCATAGTTGTGACAAACTTCATCCGGGAAAAAAAAGGGGGGGGGGGGGGACTCCCAACACACCGCTTCGGCGGGCAGTTGAAGCACCGTTCACAAGCAAGGGCCACTTTGGGGGCCCCCTGGAATCATTCCGTCCGTTATACACTATATAATAGTACAGTAAAATATCTACAAAATGTACATAAACAAATTTAGGAGACCTCTTCATCCAGATGACAAGAACTTTGAGACAGTTATGATTTATAAACGTTTTTAAATGCCTGATATTTTTGGAATGTTTAAGAATAATTGATGGAACCGACTGTGTTTGTTAATAATATAGAAGAGTATGATGGATATCTTATGTTTAATCCCCATCATCATCATTATTACATATAGTAGTGGAAAGCATAATTAATTATATCTTCTGGGTGAATAGTATATTACCGTCTCAATCACAGATTTCTTGATCATTCAGCTGAGTCAACCAAGGAGATTTCACACAGATCTGTGTAATTTTGCATAAATCCAACTGATTCCTTAGCTCCATAAACTATGTGACACCGAGTTTTGAACCCAATACCATCTGCTTCAGAAGTGCTCACCACTTTTGCAGCTCACGAGGCTGTGGTCACCTAGCAATTAGTGACTAAGATTAAATAAACCCATATTTACTTTCCTATTGCTTGACCTAGTGGTATTACTTTTATGTGTCAAAACAAATATGTTTATGAATCAGTATCCACATTTGATTGCCAACCCTTTCCAGCTATGATCACGTCTAAGCAAGCATCCACATATTTTTATTATTATTGTTGGTAATTTGCTATTGATTGTGTTTGTATATTCGAGAATATACCATTTCATGAGCTCTGTTGTCTTTAACTTCTTTATTTATTATGGTAACCATTACAATTCTTTAGAGAAGATGAATCCCTGAAGATGAGTTACTTATTACAAACATGAGCAAAATCGCAAAATGGTTGAAAAAAGAGCAAGAGAACTCCATCCTTACAAAAGTGAAGAACCTAAAAAACCAGAATCCCTGTGAGACGTGGGACCTGTTTGAGGAGATCGGTGATGGAAACTTTGGCACTGTCTACAAGGTGTGTACATAGCATATTGCACATATCCTATAAACGCTGCTGCAATGTAGTCTCCAAGAAACCCAACACAGCTTCATAGAATTCCACTGAAACATATTAGGGTGTAATTCAACCCTTCTTCCTACCCGACCTTGACCCTTACCCCAACCTTTACCCTGGCCCCGGAACCCTAATTCCTCCGTAATGTTTTGGTGGAATCCCAGAGGCTAGGTTTGGCTTCTTGGAAAGTGTCTAAAATATGCTAATATGCTAAATGCTCATAAATTATCAAAAATGTTTGACAATACACTGACAGATTGCTGAGAATTACATTGCCTTTACCCAGTACATTTATGAACATTTGTCCCAGCAAGTTAATAATCCTAATTGACATCTTTCAACTCCCTAAATTCTAGAGAAGCCATCTTTCTTACATTGCAGATATATTATATAAGTATAAGCTTATTCCAGCCTCATTACAGTTGGCAGTAACGTAATATATATTCCGGGGTATCGTACTTTTTATGTGACAATTACTGGAACGGGGCCCCCCCCCCCCCTGGAACACATTAGTGCGTAGTTAGTTATAACACAGTTAGTTAGGGATTCCCGACAAACCGGAACTTGCAAACGGGAACCTGTAGCACACACTGTCACAGTGTAATGTAGAGTGGCCCAGTGGCGTAACAAAAGGCCCCATCGACCTCACTGTGCAGGGGGGGGGGGGGGGGGGGGGGGGGCAAATCGTCGTTTGAATGTGGCACAATTTGGAAAAAATTAACTAGTTTTGCCTTGGGCTAATATTTCGAGAAGAAAGCGGTGCGCTACTTCGAAGAAATTTAGATGAGTGTCATCTGTCAACAACAGGGGGGCGCTTTTTTAGCGGGGGCGCCAACAGGCAATGTTACGCCACTGGTGTGGTCCAGTGTAATGTAGCACAGTGTAATGTAGCACAGTGTAATGTACACTGCTAACACTGTTGTTTCACAGGCGCGACTAGTATCACAGCCGAGTGTGGTGTGCGCAGCTAAGAAGATAGCGCTGTGTGAGGATGAGGAGGAGGAAGTGTACACTACGGAGCTGATGGTCCTGTCGGAGTGCAAACATACTAACGTACTGAAACTGCTGGACTGCTTTATTCACATCGACAATATATATGTGAGTTATTTTATTATTTACAACTTATATATTATATATATTTAATAAGTTACATCATTGGCTCAGATATAGTACATATCTATGAGTTTCACCAATTCTACCCTGAAAATCTTTGTCAAATGTAACTAATGCTCATAATTTAATTAATGCACTCCTAAAAACAGACACTGACGGTCACTTTAATTCGTCCATAATTGTTATTGGTTTATAGCTGTATAGTTTACTGTAACCATAGTAACTACTATATGGTAACTACTATATTATGGTAACTAACCATAGTAACTACTATATGGTAACTACTATATGGTAACTAACCATAGTAACTACTATATGGTAACTACTATATGGTAACTAACCATAGTAACTACTATATGGTAACTACTATATGGTAACTAACCATAGTAACTACTATATGGTAACTACTATAAGGTAACTACTAACTAACCATCGTAACTACTATATGGTAGTAGTTACGAATACTGACCGATTTGAAATTCCTCTGAAAAGCATAGTGTCAATGTAAACCTTTCAGAATTTGAGATATTTCTAATTATATTATTGAATACGATACTTTTTATTGGCTCATTGTGGTGGATCTCGGTACTAACTAGGCAAAATACCGAAGATTTTTTTCTAAGATCATTTACATTTTTGCTCATAGGCATGTTTGCCTAATTTGCATAATACGATGGCCGACATATTGCAGCAGCAACAATTGTCATCCTATCAAAACGTTGAGGAGCGCCATTGTCAGTTAATTAAATAGTAAAGTAGCTGTAACTGTTACTGTAACATATTAGATCAGTGTACTGATGCTGAACAAGTATGCTTACCACAGTCCTGAACGTTTGTTACAGCATAATATACAGTGTGTCACACTCACATAATATACAGTGTGTCACACTCACAACTTACCAGACTACAGATCGGTCTATTTTCTGGGAACTTAAAGTCAGTAGTACACGACTGAGTACTGTGTACTGTCTCCACTGTGTACCCACTAGGGGGAGGGGGTGGGGGGCAACCCCCTCTCCAATGTCCACATTCTTAGTTGTACACCTTGTTTGACAGGAGTTAGACACACAGTACTACCTAGTGAGAATCATTGCATGCTGATGTTTAGTAAGATATCCACATAAATTAAGTGGTACAACAACCACCCAGCTGAGTGCTTCCTTATTTCATTAGACGGTGAGTAGTAACTAGTATAATAGCACTACCTGACTACCTAGTACACACTACACACTACACGCTGGGTACTCACTACTACACCTCTAATTGCCCAGTATGTTTTGGACACGACTAACAAACAGTAGACTGGTCAATAAACATTAAACGTGTTATCTGCTGTACTGGTAATTGGTTGCTTGCAAGTGTCGCGCGACACTTGACTTGTGGTGTCGCGCGACTCTAGCAGTTGGGGACTCGTGCAGCGAGCTGGCCACTAGAGTCACAGATAAGTGAAGCTTCATGTTTGATATTGCTTACCAAGCAGAAAGCTTAAGATCACTTAAGTAGCAGCTGACCATGTTGATATTGTTAATACTAATGACCAGACTTCATGCACAATATTAACAACTATCAGAGGTCACTATATAATATATATAGGTCACTCTGTGTCACTTCATCAGACTCACCAGTGTATTATATTATTTGATCATATTTTAATGCTATATTAAACTTATTATAAATTCCTAAAGTACGTGCTTTATGTCACATAAGTTGACTTTACCTACCTATCGGACCCAGCAAACAACTATTTATCACTTAGGTTCGGAATGTGATGAAAGTTGCTTGCATTTCACGTGCTGTTACCATAGTTACACTACTAGTTTCACGTGCTGTTCACACGTGCAGTCGTGTGTGTTTTTACACAGTGTCAAGATATCAGCTGATGTGGAATGTACGGAATGTATAGGTCTGTAGGACCGTCAGTCCGAGAAAGTGCATTACGCTACTACTAGTTACCATAGCTACAATACTAGTTAACATAGCTACCGCGGGAGAATTTAACAGTTCGGTAAAAGGAATTTGTCTCAATTTACCCCGATTATGGAATAAGACCGAGTTATTAGAGAGTGTTAGTGAGTGTTTGCCGGGTGTTAACACTAGAGAGTGTTAGTGAGTGTTAGCCGGGTGTTAACACTAGAGAGTGTTAGTGAGTGTTAGCCGGGTGTTAACACTAGTGAGTGTTAGTGAGTGTTTGCCGGGTGTTAACACTAGAGAGTGTTAGTGAGTGTTTGCCGGGTGTTAACACCAGAGAGTGTTAGTGAGTGTTAGCCGGGTGTTAACACTAGAGAGTGTTAGTGAGTGTTTGCCGGGTGTTAACACTAGAGAGTGTTAGTGAGTGTTAGCCGGGTGTTAACACTAGAGAGTGTTAGTGAGTGTTTGCCGGGTGTTAACACTAGAGAGTGTTAGTGAGTGTTTGCCGGGTGTTAACACTAGAGAGTGTTAGTGAGTGTTTGCCGGGTGTTAACACTAGAGAGTGTTAGTGAGTGTTTGCCGGGTGTTAACACTAGAGAGTGTTAGTGAGTGTTTGCCGGGTGTTAACACTAGAGAGTGTTAGTGAGTGTTTGCCGGGTGTTAACACTAGAGAGTGTTAGTGAGTGTTTGCCGGGTGTTAACACTAGAGAGTGTTAGTGAGTGTTAGCTGGGTGGTAACACTAGAGAGTGTTAGTGAGTGTTTGCCGGGTGTTAACACTAGAGAGTGTTAGTGAGTGTTAGCTGGGTGGTAACACTAGAGAGTGTTAGGTTATTATAGTGAGCAATAGATTCCAACTAATGTTAGGTTTCTAAATATAGACATTTGAGCGACTGTAAGATTTCTCAACTATGCTGTGAGGTGTATGGTTTCGAAATGTAGCGGTAGGTTTCAGCTAATATTAGAAAAACAAAAGGGGACATTCCATTCCCTAACATTTACCCCTTGCTGTTTGGATTTAGGTTTTAGTGTTTAGATAAGTATTAAGTATGATTACGTTTAATTTTCATCTTCCGATGATCAAGTTGCAAGGGATGAAGTTGCAAGGTACTTAGTACACAGTGCAGCACTACCTATGGGATGAAGTGTCACTAACCTTATTGTGTTTCAGCTAATGCTGGAGTTCTGTGCGCTGGGAGCTATAGTTACCATAGTTACACTGCTAGTTACCATAGTTACACTACTAGTTACCATAGTTACACTACTAGTTACCATAGTTACACTATTAGTTACCATAGTTACACTATTAGTTACCATAGTTACACTATTAGTTACCATAGTTACACTACTGTGTTTCAGCTAATGCTGGAGTTCTGTGCGCTGGGAGCTATGGACACCATTCTGAAGGAGCTGGACCGGGGACTGGACGAGGAGGCCATCAAAATAGTCACTAAACAAACTCTAGAGGTCAGTACATATAGTTACCATAGTTACACTACAGTACATCCTGTATTGGGTGAAGATTTATCTAATTTATTTTATTGACGGATCATATACTGAAACTTTAGCATCTATCATATTTTTCTGAAACCAGTTCAAATAACGTGTAGGAGATAATAATAACTATCACTGCAGGGGTTAAGGTATCTGCACAAGAACTCTATAATACATAGAGATGTTAAAGCCGGCAACCTGCTTCTCACTGATCAAGCTGTCGTCAAAATAGGTGAGAATCACAGTTTACCATAGTAACACACTAGTTTCTCATCTTTACCCTAGCTTCAGGACCAGGAGCCTAGGACCAATTGGGTCCATTTATACTAGCTTCTAATACAACTCTAGATAATACTTTTATAACTTATTTCTAGTATTGTCTCGGTTAGCTGCGACTTGTTGACAAGCAGTTAGCTGTGACTCGTTGACTTAATGTCTCCTAATTATGGGATTGTAGTAATATTCATTATTCACATATCAAATAGCTACAATGTGAATTAAAGGAAAGGTCTGTAAGTTTACTTTTTAGCCTAAGTTATCTTAGTAGAGCAGAAATATCAGAAATATGAGTATTATATATTAATATATTATATTATATATTCATAAATCTACATGCTAATACATAATAGTCAATAACTATGTATAGTCGTTATTGTAAACAAAGAGTGTACATCATGTTGAACACAATAAAAACAATTTCATTTAGTTCATATAATTTTGGCCCAACCAGTTTATTTCGTAATCTTGAATATTAAATATTTGGGCTGTATTATATTCTGTACCCATTGGGGCAGATACAAACGCACAATTAATTGCAACTTGAGCTCCACAGACACTAATTCCCCAGCCTACCTTTATATATTAGGACGCAATGTTTAATATTATGAAGGAGTATATTAAGACGCAATGAAACTACACGATGTATGGGGACTTGCCACCCCATGGCAACATTAAAATATATCGACTCTGTTACATCGTTTCCTGTTAATATAAAACTCTGTTACAAATTGAACTGGGATCTGGCAATACTACACCTTAGTTCAATAAAATATGATAAGGTAATGTATAGCTAGACTTAAGTAAAAGTCTGAAAGAATATAGAAAACAAAATAGTTTGCTTGAAAGCTAAATAATAAACTGTCAAAGAGTAGTCAACGTGAATAAAACTGCTCCGATGCAACCAAAGAAATATCACAGTTCCCTTACTTACCCCCCCCCCCCCCCCCCTGTAGACACCCTGCTGTACCATCAATACACTAATTGTCTGAACTCATAGTTAGTGTAGTGCTCCTTCATCAACACACGCGACAATAATTACCTCGACTAGTTCATCATGTATAGCACGTTAAAAAGGTAGCTACCTGTAATATCTATTTGTAACCTCCCGCTAACCAACTAGTTGACATGCAGGGTAAACTCTCCCTGAACTGACAAATGTTGTCAGTATTAAACAACACAGCGAGGGTATACACAGCGGGTATACACTGCAAAACTTGTCACTTTTGCAGTGAGCTAAACCCTCTTGTAAGGTTTGAGATATTAGCTGGGTGGTAACACTAGTGAGTGTTAGTGAGTGTTAGTGAGTGTTAGTGAGTGTTAGTGAGTGTTAGTGAGTGTTAGTGAGTGTTAGTGAGTGTTAGTGAGTGTTAGTGAGTGTTAGTGAGTGTTAGTGAGTGTTAGTGAGTGTTAGTGAGTGTTACCATGGTAACACTAGTGAGATATCATTAAATCACTGTAATGTAGCTCAGTTAAACAAAGAATATCAGTTTGAAGTTGTAAACTTTACTTATATTATTAGGTAAATAAGATAAAGTTCCACTTTAACCGTTTATAAAAGTAACCACCGTACTTTTATCTCCTTTTTGGGAGTTTGATTAATTATAAGATCGTTTATCAGATCATGTAATCGCAGCATCATGTTTCCATGGCAACCCCTTTCACCTACCCTTACAAGTAACTAGAGCATGATTCTTTAGAGAGATCATTAACATTTCCCTGTACCCTCTAGTGCTGTGTAGTAGTAACTAGTAGCTCAGTAGTAGTACAGTGTAGCTACCAAGCTTTCATCAGTTTTCCTTTTCCAACTTAGTCAACAAATTACAAGTATTCCCCAGATTTGTATCAACTTGAAGTGTTAACCAGTTCCTTGTCCCCCTGAGGCAGTTACCATGGTAACGTAGCTACTAGTTACCATGGTAACGTAGCTACTAGTTACCATGGTAACTAGTAGCTACTAGTTACCATGGTAACGTTACCAGGTCTGATGTGAGGTCGGCCCCCTTTCTCTCCCTTAGGCTATGTGTACATTAACATTACACTCATCATGTAGTGTGTGTTGATTGTTGTATAGTTTCCATGCTGCACAACAACTACTAGTTACTACTACAATGTCCGCTCTATTCAATTAGAGTTGCAGGTAGCAGGTTGCAGGTTGCAGGTTGCAGGTTGCAGGTAGCAGGTAGCAGGTTGCAGGTAGCAGGTAGCAGGTAGCAGGTAGCAGGTTGCAGGTTGCAGGTAGCAGGTAGCAGGTTGCAGGTAGCAGGTAGCAGGTAGCAGGTAGCAGGTTGCAGGCCTCTACTAACCTCACTCCACAACTTGTAATCAACTTACAGAAACTATTGCAGGACTTGTTGTCTACTCCAGATTACAAGTCATCATTATCATGATTTTATACAGTCTTCACATTTTATACAGTCTTCACATTTTATACAGTCTTCACATTCACTGATGATTATACAGTCTTCACATTCCTCAGCTGATTTAGAAATAAATTTGTAAGTTTGTAAGTTTACAAAGAGTAACTCGTAAGTATGATTCGTATGAGATGTACGAGGGGGCACGTACAAAACGAGTCATTTTTACTGCATGATTAGATTACAAGTTAAGTTAAGAGTGGAGCCAGGCCGGAACGAGCGTAATCAGATGATTCTCTTAAATCAGCATGACGTGATTCAGTCTGTGCAGCGAGCAAGGCTCCAGTGCTGTATACGTGACCGAGCCAGGCTCCAGTGCAGCGAGCAAGGCTCCAGTGCAGCGAGCAGGGCTCCAGTGCAGCGAGCAAGGCTCCAGTGCAGCGAGCAAGGCTCCAGTGTAGCGAGCAGGCTCCAGTGCAGCGAGCAAGGCTCCAGGGCAGCGAGCAAGGCTCCAGTGCAGCGAGCAAGGCTCTAGTGCTTCCCTCCATTTCACATTATATTCTATGACAGACCGAATACGTGACCGGTGTACCTAGTACCTATGTGACCTATGTAAACGTTAAACTGATGTATTTTAACGGGTACGAGACTACACGCCCTGAAATGCCTCAACTCATTTGTCCAGTTCTTACAACAGGTTTTGAAAAACAATGTAAATTGTTGGGAGCCTGTTGGGAATGCTATTAAAAGCTGTGTAAAAGAATGTGAAGGGTGTAACTTTATTTGGTGCTTAGTGTGTTTAGTGTGATTACTGAGGAATTTAGGACCCAGTAAATTGTTGTGTACCTACACATACTGTACATACTTGGCCCGAGATATCTTCTGGAATGTTGGACGATATCCAATTATATGTTGATTATGATTCGATAAGCCCGCCTATTGGTGCCCCGTAATAACATATACCTGCTAAACTATACTAGAGAAAGAAAGAGAGAGAGTCATCATCCGAGTATCACCCCATCTAGTACTACAGTAAAAACAATTACTCACATTGTTAGTGTTTACTCGTTATCACGTGATAATGTGACTGATGATAAGTCTTCCTTCTCAGTGTGATTAAACCAATGTGTTTACAAGAAAACAGCTAGAAAACCACATAGGGCTCACATAAATACTGATTAAGTAGTCTCGGGGATGCGTCACGTGATCCACAACTCACGCAATAACACAGTATAATAGCTGACGAAGATTAATACATGTTTATTGAAAGCTTCTACAAGTTAAACTATCGTATCACTTATTATATGTTTCTAACCCAACTCCGTTCAGTATAATAGTAGGAATAGTAGGAACTTAATTATTATATGTAGAAAATAAGTTTACAAGAAGGCTGCTTAGTGCTTGTGTTACATTATTCAATTGTTTATGTTTAGTTTAACACGACTTGTACAAATGTATACTTCCTTCTTACTCATTATACAGCAATTAAGGTATAAACCAATTAGTCTGCACACTCTACACAATACGGTCTATTTTCCTGTCATTAACATATTTGTTTAGAGCAGCGAAATATTTAGCAGATTTAGCAGGAGTCATTAAAATTAGCGCTTTTAAATCCAGGAAAAGATGTGAGGAATATTCAAAGTACATCAATATCATGGCATTTTGGATATTTTGGATATTTTGGTTGCCTAAGTTGTTGGCAGTTAGCCAGCTATCCTGTTTCCAGGTGCACCTTTGTCTGAGCTGTATAAGCAACCTAAAATACATTTAGCTGATGGGCTTACTGTGCTTATCCAATATGAAGTGGCTATGAGTAGTAATAAGTATTGTATATATATATATTACTAATATAGTAGTGGGGCTCCCGATCAGCTTATTACTGTACTTTTAGAGAAATAATAATAAAATGTTAAATTTCCCGAGACAGCCAAACAGAACAAATGTTGATAAAATTGGTGACGTTATTATTATATTACTAGTGTAACCCGTGCCTACGGCCGGGGCTTTACTATCGCAGTTGAAATGCAAAAGTATAAACCCGCCTATTATATTCTAAAAAACGCTTTACATTTTCGTAGTTAAAACGGTGCGAAAGTATGACCTCGCTCAGTCCAAACACGCCGCAATTTAATTCTGAATGCCCCTCACGTATCTAATAGTAATACTTGATAGGCAATCTTGATTCTTGAGGTCCCCTGCCAAATTATCTAATTATATAGAAAATCTGTTATGAGGGGAGAGAGAGCGAGAGTGGGAGAGTACACACACAGGGGTCCGGACTCTAGGGCGTAAGACTCTAGGGCGTAAGACTCTAGGGTCTTAGGGTTAGGGTTAGGGTTAGGGTTAGGGTTTGGGTTTGGGTTAGGGTTAGGGTTAGGGTTAGGATAAGGGTTAGGGTTAGGGTTAGGGTGATGGTTAGGGTTAGGGCGCCGCCCTAAAGTCTCACGCCCTAGAGTCTTACGCCCTAGAGTCCCGGACCCCACACACACACACACACACTTTACTATCACATTTGGGTCACAAAATTATTGTCGGCACTATACCGAAAAATCAGTCCCATATCTAATTAAACCGTTCGTAAATTACAAACAGACACACAGATTTATTGAGATTATATATATATAGATTATAGTTGAGAAGTAGAGAAATAGTTAATCTGTACATATCAACTTCTACTTCTACTACATTATATATATAGTATACTACATTTCAATCTCTGATCTCCTGGTTGTGTTTTCTGTGATCAACTCGTCGCAAAAGGGATGGTAACCATGGTAACATGTCTAGGTAACCATGGTTACTAACCATGTTAACATTTAAAAGTTCTTTAAATGATAAAACTACTACTCTCCTTATTCTGCGATAATCTTCAAACATTGCATTCTAACTAGAAAACTGAGAATACTGAGTTTCAGAATAACGATTCTGTTACCAAATAAGTACAAAATTTGACACATATTTCACAGATAAACCTCTTTATTTATCCCAGTCACTGGCACTAAATATTAAATATTAACTATTTACAATTTCAGCTGATTTTGGAGTGTCAGCTCGGAACAAGAACCACTCGAGAAAGAGAATCTCACACGTGGGAACTCCCTACTGGTTTGTTATTTGTTATTTAACTTTAATATATTAACACGTGGGCACTCCCTTGTAGTAGAGTAACCCAGTAAGCACAGAGTGGTGCTTTCTCTCTGGACCAGACTGCGTGCTATTAAGGGACACTAATGGTTTCTCTCTGGTTAGGGTGTAACTTCTAGAACCAGCGTTACACCCTCACCACGTTACAATGTCAAATAATTAATATTAATTAGCTGTCATCACATCTGCGTGATGATCAACTTTAATTATCTGAGAAAAAACATAATTAAAAACCCCGCGGAAAATATGTGGAATGTCTCTGATAATTTCCTTAAGAGACACCTCTCCAATAATCACTGCAAAACGCTCTTCTAGCCACCACCTGCCTAATCCACTCCAATTATACGTCTAAACTTCCTGTCAATCAGAGTGGTGCTTTCTCTCTTCCTGTCAATCTCTGAGATTAGCAGCTCTCAAGTGAAGTGCTCCTATTAATTACCTAGTGCTGACAAATACATTAACTGATTCTGTTACACTAGTAGGGAGATGTGTAATCTCCAGGAGGGAGGGCTGCTGTGTTGACCACCACCTTCAACCACCATCTGACAAGTTAGCGAGTGGGGGGGGGGCCTGATCCCTACATACTCATATTTAAAGCATATAGATGTGGGTTCTGGCATATTTTTTGTCACGTGACAGAAATTGACCAATCAAACCCCAGAATCACTGTCACTTGTCACCTAACATGTGCTTCAGTTTCCACAACTGTTCATTGTGGGCAGTAAGACTGTTTTGCTATTAAGATGAAACAATCTAAAGCAATGATTGAGAGTGCTGATTCGTTGAACAATAGCTGCAAATGTTATGTACTACGCATACATATTATTATGCGATGATATGGCTTTATCACTAAGTATTAACAGGGTGCAATTATAGTACCGTATAAAGTCATGTTTCCAAATCATCAATTATTTGAAAAGTTATCTCAACTAAAACTTTGTTACGTATGCTGGTAATGCTGGGTAATGCTGGGTAGTGATGGGTAATGCTGGGTAATGCTGGGTAATGCTGGGTAGTGATGGGTAATGCTGGGTAGTGATGGGTAATGCTGGGTAATGTTGGGTAATGCTGGGTAATGCTGGGTAATGCTGGGTAATGCTGGGTAGTGCTGGGTAATGCTGGGTAATGCTGGGTAATGCTGGGTAATGTTGGGTAATGCTGGGTAATGCTGGGTAATGCTGGGTAGTGATGGGTAATGCTGGGTAGTGATGGGTAATGCTGGGTAATGTTGGGTAATGCTGGGTAATGCTGGGTAATGCTGGGTAATGCTGGGTAGTGCTGGGTAATGCTGGGTAATGCTGGGTAATGCTGGGTAATGCTGGGTAATGCTGGGTAATGCTGGGTATGGGCCACAGCATTGGTAGTACTAGTAGTAGTAGTATAATATAATGTTTGTTTCAGGATGGCTCCAGAGGTTATAGTCTGCGAGACAGTAAAAGATAATCCCTACGATTACAAGGTACATTATTACATGTTGATACATAGTGACTGCACTTTCTCTTTCACTTTCTCTTTATCTCTGTTGTTAAGTGACTGCACTTTCTCTTTCTCTTACTCTTTCTCTCTGTTGTTAAGTGACTGCACTTTCTCTTTCTCTTTTCCTTTCTCTTTCTCTTTATCTCTGTTGTTAAGTGACTGCACTTTCTCTTTCTCTTTTCCTTTCTCTTTCTCTTTATCTCTGTTGTTAAGTGACTGCACTTTCTCTTTATCTCTGTTGTTAAGTGACTGCACTTTCTCTTTATCTCTGTTGTTTAGTGACTGCACTTTCTCTTTCTCTTACTCTTTCTCTCTGTTGTTAAGTGACTGCACTTTCTCTTTCTCTTTTCCTTTCTCTCTGTTGTTAAGTGACTGCACTTTCTCTTTCTCTTTTCCTTTCTCTTTCTCTTTATCTCTGTTGTTAAGTGACTGCACTTTCTCTTTCTCTTTTCCTTTCTCTTTCTCTTTATCTCTGTTGTTTAGTGACTGCACTTTCTCTTTATCTCTGTTGTTAAGTGACTGCACTTTCTCTTTATCTCTGTTGTTAAGTGACTGCACTTTCTCTTTATCTCTGTTGTTTAGTGACTGCACTTTCTCTTTATCTCTGTTGTTTAGTGACTGTACTTTCTCTTTATCTCTGTTGTTTAGTGACTGCACTTTCTCTTTATCTCTGTTGTTTAGTGACTGCACTTTCTCTTTATCTCTGTTGTTTAGTGACTGCACTTTCTCTTTATCTCTGTTGTTAAGTGACTGCACTTTCTCTTTATCTCTGTTGTTTAGTGACTGCACTTTCTCTTTATCTCTGTTGTTTAGTGACTGCACTTTCTCTTTATCTCTGTTGTTTAGTGACTGCACTTTCTCTTTATCTCTGTTGTTTAGTGACTGCACTTTCTCTTTATCTCTGTTGTTAAGTGACTGCACTTTCTCTTTATCTCTGTTGTTTAGTGACTGCACTGTCAATACACCAACTGATTTGTAATGAATCATGTCTGACTAGCTGAAGAATATACCTTATATATAATAATAATAAAGTAGACTCAGCTCAGCACACACACTACACTCACTATTAGTGTGTCTCACCCCATGTAGTGAGACACACTAATCAATAATCATATGGTTTATATCAAGAATAATCTGCCCTCTGATTGACTTGTGGACACGTGGCATGACGTCATTACACGTGTCATGACGTCATTACACGTGACGAGTAAGCTGGATCCAGACTGGCTGTAATTCTGATTGGACGTCAATGCTGGGCTCTGTTAAACTTTAATGTCACATTACTGTAACTCATGATAGGTATTGGTTTTTAAAGGTTGGCGTCAGATTAGTGATTACCATGGTTACGTACAGTTAATAGCTTGGAAAATGAGGGATTAAAAATGAAGTCATTAAATAAAACACACCTTATCTGTTGTTTAATTACCATGACACGCAGTTGTAAGTGTTTGTATGTGTGTACACTGCATCTAGTTAAAACTACTGATATATCGGCTGAGTCCTGATTCTTAGTGTTTTATAAGGCTTGTTGACAAATATTCGCACGTTTTGACACTGTAATAATATGTGTGTTTGTACATCAGGAACCTACACACTACATACTACATAGGCACTCTAACTCTAACACTACACACACTACATAGGCACTCTAACTCTAACACACTACATACTACATAGGCACTCTAACTCTAACACTACAGTATACTGTTATACAGGCACTCTAACTGTGACATGTGACTAAAGATGTACGTTAGTTAAAGTGAGCAATGATCGTCTGTGTTACCTATCATACAGTAACACATTCTCTCACTGACTCGCGAAACAGTAATGAGTTTCTGTAATTCACCAAGCATAACACTCTCTAGTAGATGTAGAGTTATTTGTCAATAACACCAGGCCACATACTTCATATTACTTCATGCTAAAAACCTGATGTTGTAGTACTAGATAGTATTAGATAGTATACTAAGACAAGCACTCTGCAGGCAGATATTTGGTCGTTAGGGATCACTAACCTGGAGTTAGCTGAAATGAACCCTCCTGGTCACGAACTCCATCCTGCAAGAGTTCTTCTCAAAATACCCAAAAGTCCACCACCTACATTCCTTTACCCTGGCAAATGGTGAGTGTAAAAGGTTGATCATTATTAACATGCAATGAAGATTGAAATATTTTCTAGTATGGTGATATTCTTTTAAAGTGGACCGTAATAATTGGTGAATTGTTGGTGTTTTGTGGAACGCGTGGCGACATTTAGTAGTGAAAATTTACAAATTTTATGTAGTGTGAGTAACATTTTAGGGCGCGCGCGCGTTCCCTGCGCGAGTTCTGAAAATCTACCAATATGGCCATTCTCGACATAGAACTTGTATGCTGATGCCTGATAAGTGATACGGATCCCTTAGAATGTGTCCTTGGAGTAATTGTTAAACAAATTAAAATTTTAAAACAGTAACAGCTGCCCCGCTTCCGCATGAAGCATGTCGGGTTAACAGTCAACAAGCAGTTAGCAACGTTGGTGTGGCACAACCGCAGAACAACGTTTACTTAAAACTTATATTATTCTTTACTAATTTCTCCCTGCTCCTAAGGAGTGAGCAATTTACCGACTTCCTATCACGATGCCTTGTAAAGGATCCTAAGAAGAGAAGCAGCGCCGATCAACTTCTGAAGGTGATTAGTTTTATTTTGTTCATTAATTATCAGTCTTAATTAATTAATTAGTCTTAACATTTTTATGTTTAGCTTGAACAAACTCATATAGTTTAACAGACCGACAATATTAGAACAAAATGTAGCGTTGTATGATTGTAAATGCTGAGTCATGAGTTAAGCAGCACAGCAAATTACTACGTTCCTTAATTTATTAGATTAAACCTAACCTCTATAACATGCTCCTCTATACATCATCACTACATGCTCCTTTATAATATACATCATCACTTATAAAATACAGATATTGGCAGACCTGTTGGCAGACCTAAATCTTTTGAGCCTGTTTATTGATACCACCATATCTTGTAGTAGTAAGTACGAGATAGTATCCCTCTGGTCACGAGTAAGTGTAAAGTGTAAACATATCTAACACCTGTTTAACATAGGGTCACAGTTTCTCTCTCAGAGTGGTTCAAATTTCACTTGTTATTATGAAATTATCTCCTCCCACGACGGCCCTATAATGTTACACCACAATAATATGGTTCCTTTCTTACACCACTTGTATTCTCTTTGTTTTACCCGCTGTTTATCATTAGTTTGAGGCTACATATTGTAATCGTGTCACTGGACAATGTTGTCAGACTCGGTACTTAGCACTGTTTAGTAGTACTCAGAACTTTAGTTGTATCTCACACTTATATTAACTGACCGCTGTATTCGTCAGCTTTTATTGCTCTCGTTCGAATGTTTGTGTTTTGTAAAGCTTCATATTGTTATAACATTCCTACGTTAAACTGGTGATGTTTTGCAGAACAAGTGGATTTCATCATGTCGTGATAACAAAGCCCTAAGAATGGTGATTGGAGAAGTTTCAGCTCCAGTAGAGGAGAGGTTGGAGGCGGAGGAGGAGGAGCAAGGAGGAGACATGATGGCTTCCAACATGTCTCTGGATTACCAGCCCGACCTTCAGGTGGGGACACTCTTCTTGCAACTAGATATTTGTAATGTTATTAAGTATTTGTTATTGAGTTTTGTTGCGAGAACTAGAGATTATAATTCGCAACTTAACGTTAACTTTGTGTTAGTCTGTTTGTTTTGAGTTGAAACAAGTCCTTCATATTATGGAGCCAGGGCGTGGAATTTCGGTACAAACTTTATGTAAGTCTGTGAATTTCTGTGGAAACTACAAAATTACAAAGGTTTTGTTTCCCATAAGTGATAAGTGTGTTTTCAATAAATACTCCTTTATAAACACATCTTTACGAACCGCTCTTCAGAAACAAGCTCTGATGCGTGCGATGAGCATGAAGAGTAACCATGGTAACGGCCCCAAGTTTGGAATCTCAGTGCTGCCCCCTGGTCCGGCAACAATGTCAACTCCCAATCTTCTAGAGGTAAAGACTCTTTCTTAAAACAAGCTTCAAACTGTTACTCCTTTATAAACCAAACTGTTTACCCGGGATTAACCCTTTGACAAACCGGACGTGAGTGGTGAGGGAAACGCTTATAACTTCAACACTTAGACATGACCAAAGCTCTAGCCCTATCCAGAGTTCCAACCCAGCAGTAACCAGTTAGCTAAGCAGTAACCTAATGCACTGCGGCTTCGGGTAAAAGGCCTCAAATAGACCTTTAGATATTGTAGTTTAGATATTGTAGTTAATAACTACACTCTGTTATTGTAGTTTAAGGATACTAACTACACTCTGTTATTGTAGTTTAAGGATAATAACTACACTCTGTTATTGTAGTTTAAGGATAATAACTGCACTCTGATATTGTAGTTTAAGGATAATAACTGCACTCTGTTTTTGTAGTTTAAGGGTAATAACTACACCCTGTTATTGTAGTTTAAGGATAATAACTACACTCTGTTATTGTAGTTTAAGGATAATAGCTACACTCTGTTATTGTAGTTTAAGGATAATAGCTACACTCTGTTATTGTAGTTTAAGGATAATAACTGCACTCTGTTTTTGTAGTTTAAGGGTAATAACTACACCCTGTTATTGTAGTTTAAGGATAGTAACTGCACTCTGTTATTGTAGTTTAAGGATAATAACTGCACCCTGTTATTGTAGTTTAAGGATAGTAACTGCACTCTGTTATTGTAGTTTAAGGATAATAACTGCACTCTGTTATTGTAGTTTAAGGATAATAACTACACTCTGTTATTGTAGTTTAAGGGTAATAACTACACTCTGTTATTGTAGTTTAAGGATAATAACTACACTCTGTTATTGTAGTTTAAGGATAATAACTACACTCTGTTATTGTAGTTTAAGGATAATAACTACACTCTGTTATTGTAGTTTAAGGATAATAACTACACTCTGTTATTGTAGTTTAAGGATAATAACTACACTCTGTTATTGTAGTTTAAGGATAATAACTACACTCTGTTATTGTAGCTTAAGGATAATAACTACACTCTGTTATTGTAGCTTAAGGATAATAACTACACTCTGTTATTGTAGTTTAAGGATAATAACTAGACTCTGTTATTGTAGTTTAAGGATAATAACTACACTCTGTTATTGTAGTTTAAGGATAATAACTACACTCTGTTATTGTAGTTTAAGGATAATAACTACACTCTGTTATTGTAGTTTAAGGATAATAACTACACTCTGTTATTGTAGTTTAAGGATAATAACTACACTCTGTTATTGTAGTTTAAGGATAATAACTACACTCTGTTATTGTAGTTTAAGGATAATAACTACACTCTGTTATTGTAGTTTAAGGATAATAACTACACTCTGTTATTGTAGTTTAAGGATAATAACTACACTCTGTTATTGTAGTTTAAGGATAATAACTACACTCTGTTATTGTAGTTTAAGGATAATAACTGCACTCTGTTATTGTAGTTTAAGGATAATAACTGCACTCTGTTATTGTAGTTTAAGGATAATAACTACACTCTGTTATTGTAGTTTAAGGATAATAACTACACTATGTTATTGTAGTTTAAGGATAATAACTACACTCTGTTATTGTAGTTTAAGGATAATAACTGCACTCTGTTATTGTAGTTTAAGGATAATAACTACACTCTGTTATTGTAGTTTAAGGATAATAACTACACTCTGTTATTGTAGTTTAAGGATAATAACTACACTCTGTTATTGTAGTTTAAGGATAATAACTACACTCTGTTATTGTAGTTTAAGGATAATAACTGCACTCTGTTATTGTAGTTTAAGGATAATAACTGCACTCTGTTATTGTAGTTTAAGGATAATAACTACACTCTGTTATTGTAGTTTAAGGATAATAACTGCACTCTGTTATTGTAGTTTAAGGATAATAACTACACTCTGTTATTGTAGTTTAAGGATAATAACTACACTCTGTTATTGTAGTTTAAGGATAATAACTACACTCTGTTATTGTAGTTTAAGTAATAACTACACTCTGTTACTGTAGTTTAAGGATAATGACTACACTCTGTTATTGTAGTTTAAGGATAATAACTACACTCTGTTATTGTAGTTTAAGGATAATAACTACACTCTGTTATTGTAGTTTAAGGATAATAACTACACTCTGTTATTGTAGTTTAAGGATAATAACTGCACTCTGTTATTGTAGTTTAAGGATAATAACTACACTCTGTTATTGTAGTTTAAGGGTAATAACTACACTCTGTTATTGTAGTTTAAGGATAATGACTACACTCTGTTATTGTAGTTTAAGGATAATAACTACACTCTGTTATTGTAGTTTAAGGATAATAACTACACTCTGTTATTGTAGTTTAAGGGTAATAACTACACTCTGTTATTGTAGTTTAAGGGTAATAACTACACTCTGTTATTGTAGTTTAAGGATAATAACTACACTCTGTTATTGTAGTTTAAGGGTAATAACTACACTCTGTTATTGTAGTTTAAGGATAATAACTACACTCTGTTATTGTAGTTTAAGGGTAATAACTACACTCTGTTATTGTAGTTTAAGGGTAATAACTACACTCTGTTATTGTAGTTTAAGGATAATAACTACACTCTGTTATTGTAGTTTAAGGATAATAACTACACTCTGTTATTGTAGTTTAAGGATAATAACTACACTCTGTTATTGTAGTTTAAGGGTAATAACTACACTCTGTTATTGTAGTTTAAGGATAATGACTACACTCTGTTATTGTAGTTTAAGGATAATAACTACACTCTGTTATTGTAGTTTAAGGGTAATAACTACACTCTGTTATTGTAGTTTAAGGATAATAACTACACTCTGTTATTGTAGTTTAAGGATAATAACTGCACTCTGTTATTGTAGTTTAAGGATAATAACTACACTCTGTTATTGTAGTTTAAGGATAATAACTACACTCTGTTATTGTAGTTTAAGGATAATAACTACCCTCTGTTATTGTAGTTTAAGGATAATAACTACACTCTGTTATTGTAGTTTAAGGATAATAACTACACTCTGTTATTGTAGTTTAAGGATAATAACTACACTCTGTTATTGTAGTTTAAGGATAATAACTACACTCTGTTATTGTAGTTTAAGGATAATAACTACACTCTGTTGTTGTAGTTTAAGGATAATAACTACACTCTGTTATTTTAGTTTAAGGATAATAACTACACTCTGTTATTGTAGTTTAAGGATAATAACTACACTCTGTTATTAGAGCAAGCTATTAGCTCATTTGATAGAAATTCATAATTATTGTGTTCATCTGAAATATGACAAGGAAAAAGTGCTTAAGTTATTAACAGTAAGTTCACCGTCTACGACATGGCCACGTAACCCAATAATGTATTAAGATAGCGAAATTAGCTTAATTGTGTTGACTTGTGCACAGTCAGTTTGTCGTTTTAAGTTTGCATTTGTTCGAGCAATTGATCAGTTCCCAGCTTTTATGCTCTGAAAGTGATATTACACTGGTTTGGATGATCATATGTTGATTCTGTGGCTGACTGACTGGTACTGTTTACTAAGGTTATTTGTAATAATGACTGGTAATTAGACCATGACAACACTAATGTGGTACCACTAACACTAGTGTAATGTGGTAATTAGACCTGACAACAAGTTACATTACAGAACCGCGGACTGACTACCGACCGGCGACGTTACACTGTAACCGACTCCACCCACCCCTCCTACAACTACAACCCCTCGCCCCTCCCGCGGTTCAACTCCATGTCCGCACTACCGCAACGTTCCAGGAACATGCGGTTCAGCCCAACGTTCGGGTTCCCTCAGAAATCCCCGTACTTATCTTACCGCAATTTGCAGACAGAAGGTCCACGCTTGGAGGAGCAGGTGGGGATGTTCAAGCAGAACTCCGAACTCAATCTCAACTCAAGTCTTACCTACCTACAGATACCCCAGAATAATGACACTGAAAAGGTAGCGTTTGTTAGTAGATAGCGTTGTGATATTTTATAATACATTCCTTGCTTTAATTAACTTAATCATGTTAATTGTGTATATTGATTATAGGGAAACTACTGTCTGTCCAAATTAATATTTATCGGTATTAACAATGTTAAAATGTAATATGTAACTGAATCTATCTAAATATATAATATGATAAATTCTACAGCATTCGTCCCACAAGATTTAGCCATAGTTACGATATTCCTGCCGAGGAGACTTGATGTAACTAATTAGAAATCATAGCAACTAGTTACTAACCATGGTAACTAGTTACTAACCATGGTAACTAGTTACTAACCATGGTAACTAGTTACTAACCATGGTAACTAGTTACTAACCATGGTAACTAGTTACTAACCATGGAAACGAGTTAGTAACCATGGAAACGAGTTAGTAACCATAGTAACTAGTTAGTAACCATGGTAACTAGTTACTAACCATGGTAACTAGTTACTAACCATGGTAACTAGTTAGTAACCATGGTAACTAGTTACTAACCATGGTAACTAGTTAGTAACCATAGTAACAATATTCCCGCAGATGTACAGAAGGACACGATCTCGTAAGTTTGTGATAGACGGGGAGGAGCTGGTAAGACACACTGAGGATCTGATAAGTATCAGAGACGAAAGTAAAACTACTTACGCTCAACGTGTATACAAACTCAGGTATGTGGAATCTTGGAATCGTGCCAAGTTGGGAATTGAGATTATTATTGAGATTACCACTTTAAAGATTACTATTATACCACTTTCTAATAATAATCGAAAACTGTATACTTTATACAACCGTATAGCGTATAGTTAGAAACATTGTTTAGTTATATTGTTTTGCTAGTTATTACAATTTGTCACAGGAAAGAAGTAGAAAAGGAGTACAACTTGCTGAGAAAGACAGAGCTTAAGGATCAGAAGAAGATGATGGGGAAGTGGAAGGCTGAGCGAGACGACCTCATAAAGTCTCAGAGAGCTGAAGCGGATGGTATCCTCAAGGCTTGCAACCAAATCCTCGATAAAACTCACAAAGACAGGTAAAGCTCTCCAACATTTCGCAAAAGTAAATTTATATTTTCCAGTTCAAACCAACGTACAAACCAAGCATGTTTTATGGCAGATTTCTACTTCTGATACCACAATTACCTGGATGGCTTCATATTTTTTAATATTGACCAACATTTCTTTATCTTGTGATTTACTATTTGTGTTTCCAGGAAAAAGGAGTTAGAAAAGAAAGAAAAAGAGCATGGCGCTGAGTTCAATTCTTTAGTGGAAACTCTGAAGAAAGAGAAAGAAAAGTTGCTGAAGGAACACGCTAAGCAGGCCAAAGTAACAAGACGGTAAGAAACTAGAAAGGGTCTTCCGCCACAAGGAAAAATCAAATTTTTTCAAAATGAATGTTTCTAGTAATATAAATTTTGAAGGGAAATTTGAAGGGAAGGAAATAACGAGATTTTACTGTAAAACTGTTTTACTTTATATGGTAAATTTATTCAGGTCTATGAAGCGTGGAATTGAACCAAAACTGGAACCTATTGAAACTGAGAATGACCAAAGATTAAGACACTGTGAGCTACACGAACAGCTTAGTAAGTAAAGCAAAGTCTTACTTTTTAACCATAAGACTGTTGGGGACTGGCCCGAAGTGCCAGCAAATGTTTACTCAAACAAATGTACTATATAGTTTAATTTGACCCGTAGAGGTTTAAAACTTAACTCTTTGAATGATCTTAATAAGCTTAAGATATTAGCCGATGATAGAGTTGCTTGGAGAAACAAATTTTTACTCTAGCTGTCTTGATCTGTACTGATCACCATTTTAGGATGACTTGATTTCTTTCAGGGGTTTTGAATATTTTAATGGTGGAAACAGTTTCTTAATAATATAGTTTAATTAAGATGTATGATTAAGATTTTTGTTGTTTCGTGTAACGTTTTCCAAATGAATTCCCTTTCCAGGCAAGGAACAGAAGCAGTCGATGCTGGAACTGGAACTGAAGTATATAGAAATAACCCGTGAAATAGTTCTAAAGCGGGCGGAGGATCTTTATGAGATCGACTCCGCGTATTGTATCAAAATGTTTGATCTGGGATTAGAGCAGCTCAAGGTTAACTTCGAGATGCAGCAAGAGCACAACCGGATTAAACATCAAAAGGTAAGAGCACAACCGGGTTAAACATCAAAAGGTAAGAGCACAACCGGGTTAAACATCAAAAGGTAAGAGCACAACCGGATTAAACATCAAAAGGTAAGAGCACAACCGGATTAAACATCAAAAGGTAAGAGCACAACCGGATTAAACATCAAAAGGTAAGAGCACAACCGGATTAAACATCAAAAGGTAAGAGCACAACCGGATTAAACATCAAAAGGTAAGAGCACAACCGGGTTAAACATCAAAAGGTAAGAGCACAACCGGATTAAACATCAAAAGGTAAGAGCACAACCGGATTAAACATCAAAAGGTAAGAGCACAACCGGGTTAAACATCAAAAGGTAAGAGCACAACCGGGTTAAACATCAAAAGGTAAGAGCACAACCGGATTAAACATCAAAAGGTAAGAGCACAACCGGGTTAAACATCAAAAGGTAAGAGCACAACCGGATTAAACATCAAAAGGTAAGAGCACAACCGGATTAAACATCAAAAGGTAAGAGCACAACCGGATTAAACTTCAAAAGGTAAGAGCACAACCGGATTAAACATCAAAAGGTAAGAGCACAACCGGATTAAACATCAAAAGGTAAGAGCACAACCGGATTAAACATCAAAAGGTAAGAGCACAACCGGATTAAACATCAAAAGGTAAGAGCACAACCGGATTAAACATCAAAAGGTAAGAGCACAACCGGGTTAAACATCAAAAGGTAAGAGCACAACCGGATTAAACATCAAAAGGTAAGAGCACAACCGGATTAAACATCAAAAGGTAAGAGCACAACCGGGTTAAACATCAAAAGGTAAGAGCACAACCGGATTAAACATCAAAAGGTAAGAGCACAACCGGGTTAAACATCAAAAGGTAAGAGCACAACCGGATTAAACATCAAAAGGTAAGAGCACAACCGGATTAAACATCAAAAGGTAAGAGCACAACCGGATTAAACATCAAAAGGTAAGAGCACAACCGGATTAAACATCAAAAGGTAAGAGCACAACCGGGTTAAACATCAAAAGGTAAGAGCACAACCGGGTTAAACATCAAAAGGTAAGAGCACAACCGGGTTAAACATCAAAAGGTAAGAGCACAACCGGGTTAAACATCAAAAGGTAAGAGCACAACCGGATTAAACATCAAAAGGTAAGAGCACAACCGGATTAAACATCAAAAGGTAAGAGCACAACCGGGTTAAACATCAAAAGGTTCGCAATTGTTTTATTTTAGATACTGATAATGTTAAATGACGAACATTTTTTATAAAGTAACGGTTGACCCGGATAACTATAAATTTAACTTGCTAATTATAATTTAGCAAGTTAAAGTTGTTGGCAGAGCTTCATTTATTCTCACTAACTTTTATTGCTCTGTATGCAGAGTTCTGGGTGATCTAAGTGTAAAATAGAGGCGGCCAACCACATTACACTAGTTTTGCTATAAATGACAGATTGCTTAGAACATTTCCTTTCACTTGTACTTTCACTTCAACTTTCTCTTACACTTTCACCTTCAAAACAGCTTAAACATTATCACTTTCACAGGAGCAAGAATTCACAAAGAGAACACTGGCTCTAGAAGAAGCAGAACTGATGAAACAACAAGAGGTGGATCGCAAGAACGTCCCAAAGAAGATCAAGGAAGACAAGAAACGTCGCCTAGAAGTGGTTAATAAAAGTGTTGCCCTGCTCAGCAGATCGGAGAGGAAGAAATTCCTTGAACAGGTTGGATGGGGAAATTTCTGATGTTCCTTCTAGTTTACTCAATATCAAGGCAGCTTGATATCTAATAGATTCAAGAATAACAATCCCTCGCCTGAGCAGTTGTATTAACTTAGGTACAATTTCAGTTCAAAGTAGAACAGAAGGACCGCGAATCAGAGATCTGGAAGGAAGTGTGGGACATACAGAAGGAGCAGAAGGAGAACTTTCTGACCCGAAAGAAGGAGACAATTGAGCGGTGCCGACAGATCCAGGTTGAGGCGGAGGGGAGTGTTTTGGAAACTCAGCGGCACAAGAAGGCTGAGCGGACAGAACTCTGTGAACAGGAGAAGAGGAAAATAAAGAGAAAATACGATGAAAAGATCGAGGTAGGAGAGGCGCTTATTTTTAGCCAGTCCGGTAACCATGGTAACTAGTAACCAAGTAACCATAGTAACTAGTAACCATAGTAACTAGCTAATTATTCTCCAGAAGTAACTTTATAAAAATTGTAAAGAATTTTAGTTGTTAACACAGGGAATTCTACTATTTTAGTTGTTAACACAGGGAATTCTACTATTTTAGTTGTTAACACAGGGAATTCTACTATTTTAGTTGTTAACACAGAGAATTCTACTATTTTAGTTGTTAACACAGGGAATTCTACTATTTTAGTTGTTAACACAGGGAATTCTACTATTTCAGTTGTTAACACAGGGAATTCTACTATTTTAGTTGTTAACACAGGGAATTCTACTATTTTAGTTGTTAACACAGGGAATTCTACTATTTTAGTTGTTAACACAGGAAATTCTACTATTTTAGTTGTTAACACAGGGAATTCTACTATTTTAGTTGTTAACACAAGGAATTCTACTATTTTAGTTGTTAACACAGGGAATTCTACTATTTTAGTTGTTAACACAGGGAATTCTACTATTTTAGTTGTTAACACAGGAAATTACTTACTTGGGTTACTTGGGGTTGCTTCATAGATCCTCTATCGGGTCATCAGAACGGCTGACCACCCGTGCAGCGAAGTTGCTGTCTTTTCTGCGCTCCAGTTCAATAACGAATTCCCGTTCTGGCAACAATATCCAGTAACAGGAGGTTCGTCCGGAATAGATGTAACAAACTCCGTCAACAATGACTTGAAGCGTAGGGGGTCCTCGATAAGGTGCAGGTTTGCGGGAATGATGTTCCACAATCGAGGCCCCATCACTACAAATGAGCTGTCAAAGATCGATTGATTCCTTTGGCTACTGGACGTTGACAAGCTAGGGACTACTGCTTTCTGGCCATAACGGAGTGTATCTGTAAACTGAACGTTGACATCATTAATTCTACTATTTTAGTTGTTAACACAGGGAATTCTACTATTTTAGTTGTTAACACAGGGAATTCTACTATTTTAGTTGTTAACACAGGGAATTCTACTATTTTAGTTGTTAACACAGGGAATTCTACTATTTTAGTTGTTAACACAGGGAATTCTACTATTTTAGTTGTTAACACAGGGAATTCTACTATTTTAGTTGTTAACACAGGGAATTCTACTATTTTAGTTGTTAACACAGAGAATTCTACTATTTTAGTTGTTAACACAGGGAATTCTACTATTTTAGTTGTTAACACAGGGAATTCTACTATTTTAGTTGTTAACACAGGGAATTCTACTATTTTAGTTGTTAACACAGGGAATTCTACTATTTTAGTTGTTAACACAGGGAATTCTACTATTTTAGTTGTTAACACAGGGAATTCTACTATTTTAGTTGTTAACACAGGGAATTCTACTATTTTAGTTGTTAACACAGGGAATTCTACTATTTTAGTTGTTAACACAGGGAATTCTACTATTTTAGTTGTAAACACAGGGAATTCTACTATTTTAGTTGTAAACACAGGGAATTCAACTATTTTAGTTGTTAACACAGGGAATTCTACTATTTTAGTTGTTAACACAGGGAATTCTACTATTTTAGTTGTTAACACAGGGAATTCTACTATTTTAGTTGTTAACACAGGGAATTCTACTATTTTAGTTGTTAACACAGAGAATTCTACTATTTTAGTTGTTAACACAGGGAATTCTACTATTTTAGTCGTTAACACAGGGAATTCTACTATTTTAGTCGTTAACACAAGGAATTCTACTATTTTAGTTGTTAACACAGGGAATTCTACTATTTTAGTTGTTAACACAGGGAATTCTACTATTTTAGTTGTTAACACAGAGAATTCTACTATTTTAGTTGTTAACACAGGGAATTCTACTATTTTAGTTGTTAACACAGAGAATTCTACTATTTTAGTTGTTAACACAGGGAATTCTACTATTTTAGTTGTTAACACAGAAAATTCTACTATTTTAGTTGTTAACACAGGGAATTCTACTATTTTAGTTGTTAACACAGGGAATTCTACTATTTTAGTTGTTAACACAGGGAATTCTACTATTTTAGTTGTTAACACAGGGAATTCTACTATTTTAGTTGTTAACACAGGGAATTCTACTATTTTAGTTGTTAACACAGGGAATTCTACTATTTTAGTTGTTAACACAGAGAATTCTACTATTTTAGTTGTTAACACAAGGAATTCTACTATTTTAGTTGTTAACACAGAGAATTCTACTATTTTAGTTGTTAACACAGAGAATTCTACCATTTTAGTTGTTAACACAGGGAATTCTACTATTTTAGTTGTTAACACAGGGAATTCTACTATTTTAGTTGTTAACACAAGGAATTCTACTATTTTAGTTGTTAACACAGGGAATCCTACTATTTTAGTTGTTAACACAGGGAATTCTACTATTTTAGTTGTTAACACAGGGAATTCTACTATTTTAGTTGTTAACACAGGGAATTCTACTATTTTAGTTGTTAACACAGGGAATTCTACTATTTTAGTTGTTAATACAGGGAATTCTACTATTTTAGTTGTTAACACAGGGAATTCTACTATTTTAGTTGTTAACACAGGGAATTCTACTATTTTAGTTGTTAACACAGGGAATTCTACTATTTTAGTTGTTAACACAGGGAATTCTACTATTTCAGGAGTTCGAAGAGCGGCACAGCCATAACAGGGAGAGCGTGGAGAAGTATTACCACAAAATAGGGAATCTAGCGCCCAACGCCTACAACCCTCTCCCCATGACCCAGAGCAAGGCGGACCTGACCTTTACCCGGAACTCTTACGCCGGCTACTCCGGGAGATACTCTGAAGACTCCAGGACCAGCAACTCCTCTAACAGACTCTCTGTAGCTAGTCAGTGTGATATGAGTCCGTTCGAGCCATCTGGATCTGATAGAATAAATGTGAGTATAACTGTTGTTACCTTGATATGGGGGGGGCCCTTTATGTGGTTATTGTTTTCTCGAATGAACTTAGATAAAAGCAATTCCCGCTAAGAGTTACGACTGATAATTTCTCTAAATCATCAGGAGGTATTTGGTTTCCTGAACGACGAAGATACCACAACAGACTCCCACCCTCTGTCAGAACTAGAGCGTTTAGGTGTCCCTCTCCCTCCTCTCCCAGTAGAAAGAGAAACATACCTAAACACAACATTAGTTCCTGAACCAGACTATCAGGACATCGTGTTTGACCATGACGACTTCGTCTCAGAGCCGGAACTAGAAGTACTGTCTGATGATCCAGATGTTGTGTGTCACCCAGAACCGTTAATGCTGCCGGAGCCGGACGGACTATTTGAGTGTGACCCTCTGCAGGACCCCCCTCCCCCGGTAGACACACCCCCTTACAGCCCTCTCTTCAACCCTGACAGTCCTCTTCTTAACCCTGACAGTCCCCTCATGATTAACGCTGTAGTTGTTCCGCTCTTTAGGTCGGAGCCCCACACTCCCACTAATAATCCTCCTCCTAAACCTCGCAAGCCCGAGTCCGATTACAGGTACAGATCTAGAATTTCCTCCTCTGTCATTGTAGATCATCTCAAACTTCTAATGGGAGAGGCATTATCAGTCGTATAAAGTTTAAAACGTGTATTCCAGATTTTGTTATTAAACTGAGTACTTTACAGAGAAAGATTATTTACTGGTGACAGTTTAGGACGCCGAGTCTCCACGCCAATGTCTAACGGCTCCTCCACGCCGGATGACGGAGGTTCAACACCCGCCACTTGCATGTCACCTGCTCCGGGTGATGTCATCACCAAACCAGCTCTCTTCCTGTCGAGCACCTCGCCCACTTCCGGGACCCTCTCCCCAACACTCACCAAGTGCTCAGCTGAATCTGTAGGGTCTCCGGACAGTGGGGACAAGCTTTACGTTCAGCCGCCTCCTAAACCTCAGCGCGCTTCTACCCTGGGCAGGGCCAGAGTTGAGGTAGGAGCCACGTGATGCCCGTATAGTAGTAGTAGTAAATCTTTCAAAGTACGAAATATCTCTTTAAAAGAGCATCCTAGGCACCTTATAGATATCAAAACGCATAAAAAAGAAAACAAAAACATCAACCATCTTCTAACTTCTTCCACTCCTCCCTATCTAAAGCTAAAAATCTAAGGTCTTCGAAATCAGTCAAATTCTTAAGTCTAATATCAAGATTTCTTCTAGTCAAGTCTTTTCTAATAACATCTAATAAGTTTAAACATGGTCTACCCCGTCTCCCTTCCATAAAAATATCAGAATTTATAGCAAATAACATAGAGGTGTATGCTGGTGCGTCTTCCTGTCCTCTTAAGATATGTCCTAACATTCTCCATCGAAACTTAGAGACTCTCACAGAGTCTCTTATGCCCGTATAAGGAGAGAGAATATTTTGTTATGGTTTAAAAGTTTACTTTTACCTTTAAGGAGGTGTAGTCTTCTTGAAATTGTGAAATTGTGAATGACTATAAGTATAATTAATGTCTAGTGATGACACCAATTATCATCTCGTGTTGTTTTTTTCTTGTAAGAATTTGATTTACTCACTCAGGACATTTCAGCAAGCTGCGATGGACTCTGACCACATTTCCCATTCAACTTTTGAAATGCTAAATACGCCGAATGATGCTACTAGCTTATGAATATGAGACGTGAACTTCGATGCTATCGCCAAATGAAATGCCATCCTCAAATATCAATGCTAACAGTAACAGGTTATAATATACGTCACTTAAATAATAATAGAGAAGTGAGAACTAATTTTACTTTTAGAAGGGTAGACGTGGCTTGATTAAAATGTTTCTATTCCTCTATTATTTCCATCATGGATTGATTTCAAATTGAAAGTGAAATATTGACAAAACCTTAGAGAGGATATGGCTACTTTAAAATAGCTCCAGTTCTTTAGCTAAATCTGCACAAGTTAAACCATTAAACGAACGACTCAAGCACCTTTTTATCGACTAAAACACGTTTTAAATTCTGGCAAAAACGAATTTATTCAATTTTTAAATTTTTATTTGTTATATTTTCTTGTACTTGTATAACATACTGAATGTGTTTATAAAAAGTTTGGATTGATATTGAGTTTGACTTTAATAAGCTTTTATAAGCTTTAAACTTGTAATAAGATTTTTAATATCTCTTTGGTTTAGTAATTGTAAAGTTTTGTATTACTTCTTACCGAATATTTATACTTAGCTGGACTATTTTGATTTGTCAAAACACACTGGCCATCATGACTGAAACAATGAGTTGAGATTAAGTATGTATTACATAAGTATTGAGAATGACCTCTTCAGGATATTCTTGTCAAATGTCGCTCTTCCCTTGACAACGTGTACAGTGTTATACTTATAGTCATACATATAGTAACGCCCCCTGCAAAAGAAGCCAGGAAAAGAGACTGAGAACTTACTTTTAGTTTTGCAGGGATCGCTTCTGCATTCTGGACAACAATATTTAAGTACGTCCTCCAATTATTCCTGGTTCAAATCTTTCTGTAGATTCCATTCCAAGAGTGAGTTGTTAGTGATGGTGGTGTATCCTTTGTGGCTTGTGCTTTGGTTGGCGAGGTATCGGGAAACTTCCCCAAAGATTTAGCAAATAATACTTTGATAGGTCCTATGTCCTAGGGTTCTCGTAATAAAGGAACAGACCTACGAGTATATTGTTGAGAATAACTTGATACACGTCGCATATCTATTTTGCGAGCAGGCCGTCGTACAGGAAGCTTGGAAATAGAGCTGCGCACAGTACAGGGACCATGTGTACATAAGGGAGTCAGGGACTGTATGCCAGTTAACGGGTGATACTCGTAAAATATATTTGTATCAAATATTCGCCATTCGACGAGTCCAACTCGGCGCGCGTCCTGGTATATGTCAGGTAAAGTGGCCCTGAATGAATATTGAATATTCGAAACCGGAAACCCTAACCCTAGCTAATCTGACCCTAATCCCTCACTATATAACCTTAACCATAACCCCGAAGCTATCCATAACCCTTGGCCTTACGGCAAGTACAACCCTAACCCGAGCCCTAAACAATCGAATTCATGTTTTACTTGATACATGTTACGCCTTCGGCGGCGCGCGCTTCGCGCGCGAAAAGTGGCATGCAACGTATGTCAATGTTTTATTTATACTGGGCTGCACTTCCAATAATGCTTCTTTCGTTTTATTTAGTTAAATTGGCTACTGGGCTTGATCATTGATTGACGACGGATTCGATGCGAAGCAATAATGCTAGTTTGCACGGCGCGTCGAACATCGAAGCGGCGAAGTCCTCCATGAGTCCAACTACTGGGACTCGCCGAGCTTTGACGGATGTTACTCGTCTAAATTTCTTCGAAGTAGCGCGCGCCGCTTTCTTCTCGAAATGGCAAGTGCTACGAAGCAGCGCGCGCCGGGCCAAACCATTAACAATGGTCAAGGGTGATTCAGAATCAGCGTCCAAAATACACCGATTTAGATCAATTTCATACCGTGTATGATACCCAATACAAATGTCAATGACAAAGACTGAGCCTTTTCACAAGAATTTTCTTAAATCTGGGCGAGCGAATATGGAATAGTTGTAACTTGTGAATAGTTGTAACTTATGTAGCGAGAGGCATTAACGGGTGATACTCTTAAAATATCTGTTCCAAATATTGGACCGTCGACGAGTCCAACTCGGCGCGCGTCCTGGTAGGTTGTAAACCTACAAGTACAACGAGAGGCACCGCTGGGCCTCGCTTACTGGGCGGCGCTCAGCCTGTCATTCCGCCGAATCTTTATTCGTTTATGAACATAATAGCCTGGGGTCCCCAGGTAAGGCCTCGCCGTCGGCGAAGCCCAGTGGTGCATCTGCAATCTAATAGTAGTTGCCGAGCTGCGAAGGATTGACATCGTGAATAAAAGTTGTCAAATTCTTCACTCGCGGCGCCGCTGACTACTTGACATACGTTGCATGCCACTTTTCTCTGATATTTGTGATACGTAACATGTATCAACTGACTACCATGATACTCGTGAGTCTAATAATCCACGTGATGCCCATATAAGGACTCTTTGAACAGTTCCAGAGGATAAAATTACAGATAATCCGTCAATGGGTAGCGAACATCAGTACTAGTACTACTACCGGAGTCATGTACGCTTTAATTTTATTTTTAACCGAGGTAAGGGATTTACTCATTGCTAGGAAGATTACATTTTTTTCTCCATTCGCTCAAGTGAACAACTATAGTACTAGTACTACTATTTAATTTAATGCAGGTATAATAGGGGGGGGGGCCAAGTGGATATTTGTAGATATTTGTAGATTAATGTAGAATGGATAATCCACGAAAAAAGTGGATGACATTCTACAAATATCTACATTAATCTCCAAAAATTCAGTAGAATTTCTGGGCATTAACTTCAATTTCATCACGTTTTATATATGCTAAGTGATTTAATGATATTATCTGACTACTTGCACAGTTCTTCTATGTTTATTTGAGTGTATTTACATGGAGATTATGGTCCATAAACACTATCATATAGAGAAAAGCAATGATCTAAAAGGGTGGAACTATCTAATTTAATGTTGCATATTAGGGGGGGGGGGGGGGGGGGGGGGGGGGGGACTAAAGTTCTGATCTCTACCGGTGCTGTCAGTCTGAACTTCCAACCATGCCATCCGCCTGACTAGGGAGAGATAAAAGAGGTACTGTTAAATATGGCAAAATAAAATTGTCACAAGGTGGAATGAGGAGGAGGAGGTGGAAGAGGAGGCTAGGAGGACTGTGGAGAAGGAGGGGACTGAGGAGAAGGAAGAGGAGAACTGATGAGGAGGACTGAGGAGAAGGAGGAAGAGGATGAGGACTGAGAAGGAAGAGGAGGAGGAGGATGAGGACTGGGGAGGAGGAGGAGGACTAAGGAGGAATATTGAGGAGGATGAGGATCACTGATCGGCTTAGGGCGAGGCCGAGGGGTACTTTTTTAGCTTAATAGCCGAGGCCGAGGAGTGCCATCTTAGTTAAGACCGAGGCCGAGGGAAGCCGTGGGGTGCTTTTTTGACCGAGGCAGAGGTCTATCCTAGTATATGCCCTTTGAATAAACGCCATCATGTAATTAGGAAAAAAATTAGGAATACTGTTTTCAGAAATGAGAAATGAGAATGTGTCGTACATATAAGGACTGAGGAGGAAGAGGATGACTGAGGAGGAGGAGGACTGAGGAAAAAGAGGACTGAGAAAGAGGTGGAGGAGGTTGAGGAGGACTGAGGAAGAGGAGGACGGAAGAGGACTGAGGAGGAAAAACACTCAAGAGGATCAGTAGGACTGAAAAGGAGAGGACTGAGGAGGAAAAGAGGAGGAGGATGACTGGGGAGGAAGAGTTAGGAGGGGGACTGAGGAGAAAGAATCAGAAGGAGGGGGACTGAGGAGGAAGTGTTAGGAGGAGGGGGACTGAGGAGGAAGATTAAGGAGGAGGTGGACTGAGGAGGAAGTTAGGAAGAGGAGGACTGAGGAGGAAGAGTTAGGAGGATCAGGAGGGGGACTGAGGAGAAGGACTTAGGAGAAGGAGGACTGAGGAGGAGGATGAGGGGAAGGAGGAAGAGAAGGAAGAGTAGGGGAGAAGGAAGCATCTAAATTTTTTTCCGTAACAGTTTTTGTCCGTTTTTGTCCATTTTTGTCCGCTTGCGGATGGGGAGACGGAGGACTGAGAAGAAACTGTACAAGCGAGGACTGAGGAGAACTGAGGAGGAAAAGGATAACTGAGGAGGAGGACTGAGGAAGAAGAGGACTGAAGGTGAGGTGGAGGGGGAGGAGGTTGAGGAGGACTGAGGAAGAGGAGGAGGAAAAATACTCAGGAGGATCAGTAGGACTGAGAAGGAGAGGACTGAGGAGGAGGAGGACTGAGGAGAAGGAGAATGACTGGGAAGAAGGAGGACTGAGGAGGGGACTGAGGAGGAGGACTTAGGAGGAGGTGGAGGACTGAGGAGGATGATGGGGGAAGGAGGAGGAGTGGAGAAGGAGGAGGAGGAAGCATCTAAATGTTATTTCCGTGAGAGTTTTTGTCCGTTTGTATCCGTTTATGTCCGTTTTTGTCCGCTTTCTGAGGAAGAGGATGCGGATGGGGAGCACTGAGAAGGAACTGTACATGCGATGACTGAGGAGGACTGAGGAGGAGGAGTTTGAGGAGGACTGAGGAGGAGGGAAGGAGGTTGAGGAGGACTGTGAAGAGAAGGACTGAGGAGGAAGAGTTAGGAGGAGGACTGAGGAGGAAGAGTTAGGAGGAGGGAGACTGAGGAGGAAGAGTTAGGAGGAGGGGGACTGAGGAGGAAGACTTAGGAGGAGGAGGCCTGTAAAAATGTCCGCTTTCTGAGGAGGAGGATGCGGATGGGGAGACGGAGGACTGAGAAGGAACTGTACAATGTACATGCGATGACTGAGGAGGACTGAGGAGGGAAGGATGACTGAGGAAGAGGACTGAGGAAGAGGAGGACTGAGGATAAGGTGGAAGAGGGTGAGGAGGACGGAGGAAGAGGAGGACTGAGGAAGAGGAGGTCTGAGGAGGATGATAAGGAGGAGGATGTCAGGATGAGGAAGAGGATGAGTAGGAACACTGAGAAGGATGAGAAGGAGGATGAACCATCTAAATGTCATTTCCGTAACAGTTTTTGTTCACTCCGGACTGCGGAGGAGGATGATTGAAGAGGAGGAGGAGGAGGTTGAGGAGGACTGAGAAGGAGAAGGACTGAGGAGGAGAAGGACTGAAGAGGAGAAGGACTGAGGAGGAGGAGGAGGTGTAGGAGGACTGAGGAGGAGGAGGAGGAGGAGGAGGAGGAGGAGGAGGAGGAGGAGGATAAGGAGGTGGAAGACTTGGGAGGAGGAAGAGGACCAAGGAGGAGAAGGAGCAGTGTGGTTGACTATTTCGTAATCACCTCATGGGCAAGAGATCATTGCTTTGTGAAATTAGTATGAATTTATCTTGAGCCGTCCTGCAGGAGTATAGTTTTGCGAAACAAACTTAACCCGACCCTTGGAAATCATGACATTTGAACTCCCTCAGCTTCGCTTTCTTGATCGAAAGCTGATGCTAAAATCCCCCCCCCCCCCCCCCCTCCTAAAGAAGAGGAGGTCTGAGGAGGATGATAAGGAGGAGGATGTCAGGATGAGGAAGAGGATGAGTAGGAACACTGAGAAGGATGAGAAGGAGGATGAACCATC